TAAATTAGTTAAATTAAGATAAGTAGAAATGAATATAAGCCTAATTGCGTAGTTGTTATGACGTTAAGATTAAAACTGCCGATTTGTTGTCATTTCATTGTTGTTGAAATGATCGCTTTTAACTCCTTTGTTGACATTGCATAAATTGTTGCAGTCTTATAATAATCAAGAAATCTTTCGACTGCTGTTTTATTAGATCTGAACCATCTGGAAATTGTCTATACAGCTCTGCTTCTCTGGCCTTGGTTGGAAGCAATGCTCTCATTCACACTTTGAGAGCTATGGTATCTATAGAGCTTTTTATATATGCAAATTATTATTGTTATCATCCAATATTCACTTTACCTAGAAAGCATGGTGACAAGGTCTCTGTTAGTGCAAAAAATGTTTTGGCTATGTCCTGTTGTTTTGAAAGTGTGGATTCAGGTTTATCAGGGCTTGATCTTGTTAAAATGGAAGCTCTTTGCAACTGTAGAGATAAAATTTGGGGTAGTTTTTTGTGTATACTTGCTCTCTCCTCAGTTACTAATAGAATCATTTCTTTGATGTATCCTGATTGTGGAGAAGTTTCTTTTAAGTTGTTGTTCAACCAAATTATTTCACCTCGTCTTCCTTCCAACACCACCTACTCAATATAACTATTTATACCTCTTGTTTTGTTCTACAACTCTATTGACTTCTAGTAAAGTCTTTAAGCCAAATCTTTGCACCTCTTATTTTCAAACCTATCAGTAAAACTAAAGAAAGGCTTCTGCTTTGTTAGAAAAAGCTAACAAGAAAATTCCTCATGTGAAAGGAGAGTCTTCTACTGTTAACATTTCTAATTTTTCAACCAGTTTCAACCCCAGCAAGTAATAAGGCTAAACAATTTATTTTGCCCAAATTATTTAGTACTACACAAACACAATCAACACAAAAGGTGCCTGCCATCACTAGTCTTGGTTTAATACATAACCCAAAACAAGAACTTTTGCAATCATTTTCATTAGATTTTCACAGCAATATCCAAATGATGTGAGATATTTTAGAGAAAAGCTAGAAATATGAATGATTCTCAAAAGCTCAGCTCATTCACAATGTTTTAAACCGAATAGATCCTACCCATTTCCTAAATCAGCTGATGGTCGATCTTTTCTTTATTCATGGCTGGAAGATTATTCTTGGTTGTGTTACTCCCCTCTTTGGATGGTGCTTTTGTCTGCCTTGTTTTGTTTGGTGATCAGTTTCCGAATAAAAATAAAAATTAAAAACTTTTAGTGAACCAATGACATATTGGCCTGATGCTAAAGCTTGCTTCCAAACGCCATATTGGTTTGAGTTCTAAGGCTCTCACCAGAGCAGGTTTGCCGAAAGCACACGTAATAAATATTTGTCATTAGTTGGTCAGGCATCAGGAGAAGGACTGCAGATTGAGGTGTTGATTGATGAGCACAAACAGCAAGTCATCAGGCAAAATAGGGAAAACTTGTATCAATAATTGATACTATTAAACTTTGTGGTAGACTTGGGTTAGCATTAAGAGGGCACCGTGATGATTCTTCATATCATCCGGAGGTTGGTTCTTACTCAAAAGGTGGTGTTGGTAACTATGTTGAATTGTTAAATTTTCGTGTTCGGCTGGTGACACAGTTTTAGCTGATCATTTGAAAAACTGTCCAAAGAATGCTTCTTATATTTCAAAGACTACTCAAAATGATCTAATTGCTGCTTGTGGACAGGTTATCACTGAAAAAATAACTAGTGAAATAAAAATAAATAAATTTTTTAGTATAATTGCTGATGAAGCAGCAGATTCTGCAAACAAAGAGCAGCTTTCTCTTGTGATTCGTTTTGTAGATAGCAATAGGAATGTTAGAGAAGATTTTGTGAGGTTTTTGCACTGCAAATGGGGTTTATCAGGGGAAAGTCTTGAGAAATTAATTCACAGTGCATTAACAGAACTAAAATTAAGCATTGAGGATTGCAGAGGTCAGGGATATGATGGAGCTGGGGCTGTTGCAGGGCATATCAATGGTCTTTCTGCACGCATTCTTCGTTTGAATTCTAAAGCAATCTACACCCACTGTTACAGCCATAGGTTAAATCTTGCAATATGTAATTCATGTTCTGTCCCTTTGTCAGAAATGTTTTAGTCAAATTAAAGAACTTTCTTACTTTTTCAATCTCTGATGGACGGCAAATGTTACTTTCAAAAGCAGTTGAAGACTATTGCCCACATTCAGGTAAATCAAAGTTAAAGGATGTTTGTCGAACTCGATGGATTGAGCGAATAGATGGTCTAGATATATTTCAAGAATTATTCCTTCCAATTTTTCATACTTTAACTGAAATGAGCCATAATGCTGGTCATGTGTGTAATCCAGAAACATCTTCTAAAGCTTCTTCTTTCCTAGCATTGATTTCCACCTTCAGATTTATTGTTAGCCTTGTCATTAGTAGAAATATTTTAGATTTAACACTTCCTGTTACTCAGTTATTACAAGCTAAAACCTGTGATGTTATGGATGGAATGCATTTAATTGAGTCATTAAAAAAACTTGGGAATTTTATTGAGGAATGATGTTGATTTATATCATGGTAAATGGTATAGTGAAGCAGTTTCTTTAGCTAAAAACGTAGATGTCGATGAAAAAAATGCCCAGAACAGCTGGCAGACAAGTTCACAATGAGAATCACCCATCTTCTAGCGCTTCAGATTATTACAAAAAGGCTCTCACTATTCCTTTTCTAGACCACTTAAACTCTGATCTTCAGGCAAGATTTGATTTTAGTCAAATCAACGTTTATAACGGCTTTAGCGTTGTTCCATCAAAAATGATTTCGCTAATTAACAGTCTTCCACCAAACAAAAAGAATTGGAAAGAGAATTTTCGTTTGTTTTCAGATTTTTACAAAGATGATCTTCCTAATCCCTTAGGATTAGATGCTGAATTGGAATTATGGGAAAAGTTTTGGACAACATATGAGGGATCATTACCGGACAGTGCAGCTTCCACACTTAAAGCTTTAGGGTTTGAAGGTTTTGAGAATATTAAGGCATGTCTACGGTTACTAGCCACTCTTCCAGTTACTTCTTGTGAGTGCGAACGCTCTATTTCAGCACTTCGCATGCTTAAAACTTACAACAGAAGTACGATGGTTGAAGAACGCTTAAATGGACTTGCACTAATGCGAATACATCAGGAAATAGAGCCTACTGTTGATGAGGTGATCAATAAATTTGCGTATGGAAACCGGCGATTAGAACTGAAATTGTAAAATTTGACTCTTTAGGCTTGGTCATTATAGTTTTGACGAGAAGGAAAGAAAGAGCTTCTAATTTTTTGTATAGTCATGATATCTCATAAATCTTAGTGACAAACGTGTCACTTTGCCTTAATTTTGTATATTAAATAATTTCACTATGGGTAATCCTCTGAGCCTGCGTGAAACCATTTTGAAATTATTTGTATGATGTGTTGCATCATTTTAATATGTCTATTCAAGTTTGAATTAGGAATATTGGATGTAGTATTTCATCTCTTTCTCGTAGCACTTTTAAAAGAACATTGAAAACGTCAATTTATGTGTGTCATACACAGCACAATTGCTTTTGTATCTCTGTGAAAATGGTACAAATATACAACATCTTCTGTCACTAGACTTTTAAAATGACCACCACTAAGGTTGTCGAAACGTCAGTCAACATCAACACCAACAGTCCTTCTAAGGACTATACTAACCCTGGCGATCTACATCTTAAAATATATATGATGCGCGTTTTGATGAAGTTACCTAACATACAAGAAATATTCACCTTTGTAAGGTCTTAATTAATGCATATGCGTTTTGATCTGGGAATAACAACAACTTTGTCTAATTGTGATACTTGTGAAGGAACAATTGACCTTATGAAAGACCAAATATTTAACTTCATCATTAACAGGGTTACTGACATTTGGAGTCATGCTCTCAAAGGAATTAATAAGTTAACTGTGTCACCAGTCAATAGCATATCTTTTCCTAAACAATACCTTTTTATAAAAGAAATCAGTTTGAGCTTGGAGTATCGTCAAAATTTATGGAAATTGAATGTTTAGGTCAGCGTTTCGACGTTTTCTTTAGCGGTGGTTTGTGTTACTTTTCTGTTTAGCTCGGCAAAATAACCATTAGATTCAGATTATGTGTGTGCATATTCTTGGGGCGAGGTTAAAGGATTAGAATGACAGGGATGATGTAGAAAACTGAGCAATTTTACATCTTTGAAATGTCCCACATTGTCGCTTTTCTAATCAAACTCCTGTTGCTTTGTTGCAAAGGTGTGAAAGGCGAGTATCTGGCGCCTTAAAACCAGACTGCTCTCTTTTTGTTTAAGGCTTCTCATTACGTTGAGGCTGTCCATGTCGGAATTGCATTTTCACGTGGTGAGGGTGCCATTTCCTAGGCATGCTGATGAGCTCTGATATAGGGTGAAACAGTCCTTATAATTCATCATATTAACAATGTTGCGTTAGCAGAATTTTTAGCTAATGCGACCACGCCCATTTATTAAAATTTTGTTCGACCACGCCCTTCCGACTAAGGAATTGAAAATCCTGGATCCGCCCCTGAATTGTGACGGTAAGATTTATGTACCAGTAAGATTCCACAAAACACGCAATGAGCACTGCAACAGAGGACCGTCCTATAAACATTCAGAAAATAACTCAATTTAAGTCAAACATTAGAAAAAAGTGTTTATAATAAATACAAAATATTACCGTAGTTTCTAAAACTTGAGAATTTATAATCCGTAGAAGAGTCTGTAAAGATAAGTTTATGAGGAAAATTATAAAAGATAAAATTCAAGCATGAAGTCACTGGAAAATAATTAAATGATTATTATGCATAATTAACATGTTCTATTAAATAATTTAACCTCGACGTTTTCCGAAGTTCCAAGATTTAATGTCTCGTCCATGGTTATCTATATACAAGTCAATAAAACTGTCAGGACATAAACAAAAAATCCCAAGAAACAAAATGAAAGGAATGAAGCAAAGCTGTTCCTCCACCATTCGTCTTAGTTAAAAATCCAACGATTTTACTCCAAAGATACGAGAATCATTTTACAAAAACGCAATCATGTCGTCAAAATCAAGATCTTGGAAATGTCATATTTACCTTAGATGAAAGGTAAGCACACATGTCTAATGCAATACTCGTGACTTGCTCTTGAGGAAGAGAGCAAATTGCTTTGAACAAGAGCTTGGACAAACGATGAGCATCAAATTTCTATAATTACGTCAAAAATAATTGCTAAGAGCCAATAGTTTACCTAAAAGGTAAATCCCTGGAGGTGAATCCCTGGAGATGAATCCCTGGAGGTGAATCCCTGGAGGTGAACCCCTTGGAGGTGATTCACTGGAGGTGAATCCCTGGAGATGAATCCATGGAGATAAACCCCTGGAGGTGAACCCTTTGGAGATGATTCACTGGAGGTGAATCCCTGGAGGTGATTCACTAGAGGTGATTCACTGGAGGTGATTCACTGGAGGTGAATCCCTGGAGCTGAACCCCTGGATGTGATTCACTGGAGCTAAATCCCTGGAGATGAACCCCTGGAGCTGAACCCCTGGAAGTGAATCCCTGGAAGTGAAACCCTGGAGGTGAATCCTGGAGGTGAATCCCTGGAGGTGAACCACCAAAATTGAATCCCAAAAGATAAGCCCAAGATGAGTGTTGGAGGTGAAACTTGGAGATGAAGAGTTAGCAATTCTATACTTACAGCGCAGCTTAGAATGTATTGGTTATATAAAACAATAACACAATTACGTTGTATCTACAAAAAGAAGATTAGATTGAATTAAAATTCTTATATTGTACTTCAGCTGGTTTCTGGCTAAAAACAGAATTATTTTCTAAATCTGACACATAACCACATTTCCAAGCAATGTATAAAAAGAAAACATGAAATAATAAAATATAAAAAAATGCCTGAATATAAAGGCAATGAAAGTTGTTGTTTTTTTAAAAACAACCATTTATGTTGGGTCAGTCAGATGAAATTCAACCTGCTTAGCAGAAAAAATATGCAATATCTCCATGACAACCTTCACCAAATCACTAAAATGGTATGAAAAACAGAATGAATTGGTAACACAGTGATGACTTAGATATGAACTAAAACATTTCATATATTACTTTGACTTACTTTAAGATGCTTATATGAAGAGAATTCAAGTCATTCTCTTTATCAAACTTAATAAGATGATGGAGACAAGCACTAAATAACGATACAAAGCAACAAACAAACATTAAATTCATAATTGATCTTATTAATGACTTTGCATCAAAATAATAATCTTGAATGAAAATGAAACAATTTAATATTTGCATTCACAAAATTTTTATCAATTATATCTTAATATTACCTGGCAGCTGTTTGTAATTCTTCTAACTGAACACACTCTTTGCTTAAGTATGTGTATTTCCCTATTACAATGAGCACAATCTAAAAAAATTGATCATGAATGATGCAGCTGAAGCCATAAGACAAATTTATAAAATAAACCTTAGTGTTTACACATTTTACAGTTCACAACAAATTTTACTTACTTCAACCAATTTCTTTCTAAAACGAACATCTTTGTTGATACTGTCATTTTCTGCCAGGCAAAACAAATGTTTCAGTGCTCTAGTCAAATAGTCTGGTCTATTTTGGTAATGGTAAAGACTAGCAAACACTCCAGACAGGGTATTTTCTCCAGTAACCTATTGAAAAGATGCTAAGCTTCTTAAATTATATCACACAAAAATTGTAAAAGATTATATTTTTGGGCATGGATTATAGGACTATTTTGTATCATCTACCTCAAGGTTCCCAATAATCTTTGTTTCTATTCTGTCTATGATACCAAGGAGACCAAGAAAACTAAGCTTTTCGTGTCTTTGAAGAAAACCCTGAAATGCTTTTATATCAGAAATCTTATTCCCAGAAATATCCAGCATTTTCAAAAATGGTAAACTTTTTCCTGAAGTGAAAAATGTGTGCAAATAATCATCACCATCAACAACTTCATCATTTTCATCATACAACTGTGAAACTTGTAGACTATGTGAAATGTCGAGATGTTGTAAATTAGAAAATTCCAATAAGCCTGTAAGATCATTATAAACAAGTGGTGTATCATGGAGAACAAGCATCTTCAGTTGCTTGTAAATATTTTTAAATGAAATTGTGTTAGCAACTTTTGTTTTAGAAAGATCCAAGCTATTCAAGTTTTTCATTTCAGCTGTTATAATGATTATCTCGTCATCGCCTATATAGCTGCAGTTACACAAACTGAGGTAGTGCAAATTTTGAAAGATTCTTGGAAAAGTGGGATTCTTGAAAATCTGATGTTTCGATAAACATAACCGCTTTGCTGAAACATGACTAGCGTAGAATCCAAAAATACTCAAGTATTTTAAAGAAGCACAATTCGAAGTAAACGTTTCCATATCAGCTAGAAGATGGCAATTTTCTGCTCCGATGTTCAGTTCTACCAATTTTTGCGATTTTATGATCATTGGAAGAACAAACTTAAGATAATTGGAGTTACACAAATATTTAAAATACACGTTTGCAAGAGAAAATTTTCTCAAAGGACAAGAACTTGGGTCGGTAAATAGCGTTAAAAAATCCATTGAAGTAGTCAAACGAAAGTGGAATAAAAATCTTTGCAACAGTAATTCACTGACGGGCAATGGCAACCGGTAAGATTCATAATGCGACCATCCAAGCCAAGAAATATCGAAATTACATCCTTCTTGTTTCTTTTTCACAAAACAAACTTTTTTGTAGTTGATAGCAATAAAATCCACAGTCAAATAGAGCAGAGAATGTGGAGAACATCTACTCATTTTGCTGTCGGGCTTTAACCATAACAAACCTCTGTGATATTTCTCCTAAAGAATATAGATTTATTATTGTTGACAGATAAGTCTGATGACATCACACACACATATATATATTGAAGTGAGGAGGGGGAGGGGGGGAGGTGAGCCATTGGGGAGACGGGAGGGACGCTATTTTGAGAAGTAGATAATGGGACTGGGACAAGGTGACTAAACATTCGTAAATCCGGAGGTATGATCCAAATAAACCATAGAATATTTCGTTTCTGCTTCTTTGGAAGTGAAAGCATTGCTGAGTGTAGAACAAAGTGGTCTAACCTTAGTAATCAAAATGATATCAGTGTGGTATCAACTATGTAAGAACCAGGTCTTCCATGGGCAAACAATTTCAGATAACACTGCTTACTTAGTCTGATGATATCTTTGGAATAAAGACGAAATATTACACCATCTTTAGTTTTAAAAGTCTTGTATCATCTTGAACATCAAGAAACGAAATGTCTGTTTTCGGAATTTGTTTTATTTTGTTCTGCTTACCTAGCAAGTAGCCATCAATTTTAGTGTCAATGCACATACAACAGGTTATAATCACAAAAAGTTTCCTGATATTAACAGAAGATTTAACAATTTGCTTTTCTAATGTGGAGCAAACAACACTCTCCTTGATAATGCAGATTTGGTAAGCTTAATGTCTTCAACTGAAGCCGTTCACGAGGTCTTCGTGCTTTTTATAAGGGGCTTGTTTTTTGTCTTTAACTTGCACTGTACGTTTTAAAGAGAAAATAGAAATTAAAAAAAGTACGTCTACTTTATACACCTCTAGGCTAAAAATTAAAATAAAATAATAAAGGCACGCTTTTTGACTTTCGATTTAGGATGAGTTAAGTTACTGTTGTCAAAAAATACGCCATTATAATGTTTTATGGAGGCTAGTGATTTGAAATTATAATCTCAAGGCAGCTAGTTGCGCACACTAATTATTTAAGTTTGTTGTTGTTGTTGTTGACTCCTTGATTGGCACACTCAAAAAGTCAAAGTTATCGCAAATTTGTCATTTTGTATTAGCATTTCACAGGAGTGTATTGTATATTGGCATTGTGGATGGCGGTCAGCGAGAGCGGACTCTTTCTATTGAACTATTAGAACTTGCCATACACCACTAACTTCTTATTGTTTCATGTCGGCGAAATTTTAATTTATGCTGGACGAAAGTATAAGCAAATTATATTTTGTATGCTATGCATTGCGAACCTGTCATAATCTTTATCACTTAATTTCAAATAGTTGCATTCCGCGTTTACATTGTTGCGCTCGGAAGAGAAAATTAAATATAACTGGGTGTTTACCAGTATCGACGCTTGTTTTTACTCAAATCAAATCTACAAAACTATGAAATTTGCTTCCTTGTTCGTCTCGACATTCGTCTGGATTTTTCTGTCTACAGTTAACTCAGGTAAATTTTTCAATATTGATTTAAACTCCGTTTTCTTATTCTCCAAGAAAAAGTTTAATAAAGTTCAAAGTTTAATAAAGTCTAACTTGATTCTTAATTGTCAAGATTTTTAACGTATATTTCATGTAAATGCACGAATGCGCTGTTATTGGAAGCAAGCTGAATTTTTTTTGTGTGTGAGATTATTTTAAATATATGTTTACGTAAGTTGAATCAAATGGCTACAAATGCAGCTGCTTAGTTGATTTGACGAGGTTTTAAAACGCCCAAAACCCGAGGAGACAGACTCAAATATTTCTTAAGACAGACTCAAATATTGCCTTATATTGATTGGCATAAACAGCTTGGTTAATTATAGTCCTACTCTGTTCGCAGGCTCGCTGCAACATTCAAAGATTCCTAAAGAAGTAGATAATGATGTTCATAAATTTCCATTGCAGGCATGTAACGATACTCCAGGGTTCAAACCATTTACTTTATTGCAGGACTAGTCAATCAATTGTTTAGCAAATATGTTATATATTTTTGTGGATAGCTGTGCGCATGCGCAGCTAACCAAGGGGCTTTATCAACAGGCTCACTACAGTCGCTGTTCAGTCAGTTGTACTTGTGGTCAAATCTGAAACTCAATATTGCAAGTCATAAGAGTCATTTCATTTCATTTAGGAAATAAAAGATGTTTACTGTGTTTGCACGGGCTTATGCAAAATGAGGAGACCTTTGAGAGAACTCGAGAGCAGATCAGTACAATCCCAAGACCAGGTTGCACATGCTCGAGAGTTCTCACAAACGTCTCCGAGGTTTACATAAGACAGTGCAAACACGAAAAAATCTTTTATTTCTTTTATAAAACAACAATAATGCGAAACAGACAAACATTTTAATTTTTTACAAAGTCACGAGATGTACGGCAGGTTTAAACGCTATTCATACGCTACAGAAGCATCGTTAATAATGTACGTCATTTGTACATGTTTAGCTGAAAGCAAATGTGAAATATCAAATAATTTGCAAGGGTTTTAATACTTTAAGGAAATTCCGAAATGGAGCATGTCGGAAATAGAGCATGTTGCTCGATGCTCCATTTCTACTTAAAATTGTTTAGGTTTTTACGCAATCGATTTATGTAAATGGTACATACATTCCTTGATTTATGTGCAATGTTTGTCACGTGCGCTATCTTGCGTGACTCCACTTATGTACGGTCTTAACAGTCTTATATTTTGACCATACATAAGTGTTCAAAAAAAGGTTATGTATGGTCTGTCAAACATTGCACGTAAATCAAGGAATTTATGTACTATTTACATTATTAATCGATTGCATAAAAAACCTAAACAGATTTCTGGGCTGCCTATGATATTGTTTAACATATTTCAACTATCGTAGCATCATTAAGTTTAATTAAAGCTTAGCATATGTTGTTTGAAGTTTAGGACAGTGACATTTTTTTATGAGAAATTCTTAAGTTACATGAAGTATCCACAACCACAGGCTTTGTTTTCGTCAAACGCCTGTTAAAATTCGACTTGAGCTGAAGCCCGAAGGTTATGATATTGTCTGTTTTACTTCTGTTGCAATTAGCAACATTTTTCATTGCAATACGTAACACATTTTTGATTGCAGATGCACGATAAAAAGTTTTTTACGCCATTATCTTAACAAATTTTAATTAAAGTTAAATGACTTATCTAATTAGTTGCTGACTTGCTGCATGTATGCAATTTACAGTCATATACCACTCACACTGCTAGTTTGGCTATTTTTATGCAATGACCAATCATATAAATACTCATATTGAAAATTTAATGACTTCTATTGAAAATTATAAACAATATGTAAAAGCAAAAAGTATGGCTGATCAAGGTTGCCCGTTTGGCTTAATATTTTGAGCCAAATTTGGCTTCTTTTTCTCACGTTAGGCTTATTTAAAATCAAAATTCACTTATTCTTATTCTTAAAATTTGGACTATTTAAGTTTTTTTTCTCTAACTTTTAAGAATCAAAATCAAAATGTGTCCCAAATTTACTGAAAATACTCAAAATAGCTATGATGCCAAAAACAGTATTTAAAGATGTACAAAACAACGCAAATGCAAAAATTGACATTAACATTGTACTACACCCCTATTGTAATAAGCATATAAGCACCATGTATGTAGACAGTTGACAGACTTCCCAGTCTCAGTGACAACGTCTTTTAAATTGATGACATTGTGCCAACATGGATTTTAATGTCGTGCAACGCACTCGTTTATAAAGTAAAGATCAGTAAAGATTAAGCTTGACATTGACAAATTTCACATTGCACACCGTTATTTCGCACACTAGTTTGACCCATAGTTAGCTTATGAATACATAATTCTTATTAGAACTCATCTTGTTTGCTTGTGACTCCATTACTGTTACAGCTACCTTCATGTACGCTATACGTACCTATTCATCATTATGATTTGACAATCACTAAATGTTGATAATCACTAAAATTTATCTGTGAATGTGAGATACTCATAAATTTGTTTTCTTTTGCATTTAACGTGTTGTCTTTTTTATAGCTCCTGGCCCTCCAGTTAATGTAACATTACAAAGATCATCGTCCACAGTACTTAACTTAACATGGGAGATACCAAGAGATCCTAATGGGATAATTCGTGGGTATAATGTATCTTGGAGTAAAGTATTAAATGATAAGAATGAAACAGTTCCAATGAACAGGAATAGTACCAACACCACCAATACTTCGTTTTCCATTACAAATCTTGGTTAGTTTTACCCTAATGAGAAAGTTATTTTTTGTACTACTTAACACACATGTCAGCGAAATTTTAGATTGAGCTGCATAAAACTATTCTTTCAGTTAATGTTTATGAAGGAGTTTATTTAGAGTATTAAATAAAAACTTTATCATGTTATAGATCCATATTCTGTTTACAATGTAAGTTTGAATGCATTTACCTTTGTTGGAAATGGAGAAGTTGTAAATGTCAGTGAACGAACTGATGAAGCAGGTAATATCTAGTTGAAACACGTTGACAAGATTTCTCTTTAGAAATCTGTATTTAGGACGTAGCCGAGCGTCTCAACAACCTGACTCATGTTTTTATATGAAAGTTCGTGTATTTAACATTTGTGATAACATATTATAGTCCAGCTGTTAACGACGAAAAAAACACCTAACCCTTCACTTTGATGATACAAGTATGAAACTTTCTCCCATTCTTACTATGCCTAGTAACACAAAATTTTGATATAGTGCCAGCCCATATTTTACATTTAAAACGAGTTCTGCGAATGTCGTGTTTGATGACGTCATCGGTAGTAAAAAAAATAAAGTTCAGAGAAATCTGCAATTTCCCTGTATATTCTTATACAACAGCTAAAGACGATAGAAAAACTATATTACAACTTTTTCTTTTGGGCAATACTTTCCCAAATACTGTGCATGGAATATTCTGAAAAGGCTGAGTCAGCATTTTCATATATATTATATATAAAGTGTATAACAATGTGCCCTCCGGCTTTCACCATAGTGCAATGATAAATCGTATCGAAAAAATGAAGAACATTCAATTAAGTTTCTTTGAGATTTATTACCTTACTTGTGTTAGCATTCAGAATAATCTAATTGAAAAAACCTATTTGGAAAGAAGATATGTCAAAGGATCATCCTCAGTTTCTGTATTGGACCAGAGTTTTGGAACTAGAATTACTCTGTTTACAACTAGTGCGATCATTTAGAGAAGCTAATTTCTCCTTATACTTCCAGTCAATTAAGCAACTTGTCCCTTGGATGTTTGCTTTGGACAATGTTAATTATGCAAGATGGCTTTCTGTCCATATCCGTGATATGTCGGAGCTTCCATTCAAACACCCTGACGTCTTTAACCAGTTCTCCAAGGGTTCGTTTGTGGTGCATAAAACGAAGAAACAGTTTTCAGCTATAGCATTAGATCATGCTCACGAGCAAGTTAATGCAGTGGTAAAGGGAGAAGGTGGTGCTGTGGGACTAACCGAAAACCTTTCAGCTTTAAGGAGATGGATGATTGCAGGTCCAGAAATTGCACGAATAATTAGGGAATTCGAGATGAGTACACATGTAGACAGTCAGCTACACCATGAGCAAACTCCATCCATTCAAAGAGAATTTTATAAAGATGTCTCAAATGTCGTCTCCAATTTTCAAGCGATGGGGAATCCTTTTGTAGAAGAGAGCGAAGACCTATTTGCCATCCACACAAATGACGTGATGAACAGTTCCGTTGTTGACACGGTGAAGAATGTTGTAACCCTTGGAGAAGAACAATATCAAGCATTTGTTAAAGAAAGATTTGTTGAGAGAAGCAAGAGTATTACTGAAACGTTGAAAAAAATAATCTGCCAACGTTTAAAACAGGAAGAAAAAGAGTTTCGTCAAAAGATAAAGTAAATATACAAACTCTGAAACTAGACTGTGCTTTATTTTCAAGATTGTATATAGCCAGTCAAAATCGAAGTGGTGATCTCGATGATTTCTTTAAATATGAGAACCAACCATGGCCACCATCTCTCTCACAAGCAGGAAGTTTGCGTACTGGTAATAAAGCAGACTTGACAAAGTGTATCGAGCCCATTACCAAAGTTCAGTCACCAACTCCCGATGTTATTATTTTAGACGGGGCTGTTGTTGTTCAAATGATTTCACCTGGAACTTGGGAAACGTTCGAAGAGTACGCTCAGTTTGCTTTCATTCCTTATGTGTTAAAGCAATTTCAATCAGCTAAAAGAATTGATTTAGTGTGGGATGTATACAAAGAGGATTCGCTGAAAAAAAACACACGGGAGAAGAGAGGCTTTGGTTAACGCCGCAAGGTTTCATCGACAGCACGTATCCCTACTGACTGGAAGGGCTTCCTGCGCGTAGATGCCAACAAAATGGATCTGTTCAATTTCTTAGCGCAGAAAGTTATTTCCCAGCAGATTCCAGAAGGAAGAGAAATTTACAGTACATTTGAAGAAAAGGTCTTGTGCTTCCCTAAAAGAACCGAAGTATCAATGTTGGAACCATGTAATCATGAAGAGGCTGACACACGATTGATGGTGCACGTGTTAGATGCAAGTGACTGCGGCCACCAGAGGATTGTTGTAAGAACAAATGATACTGACGTATTGATACTGGCCATTTCAATTGTGAAAAACATCAAAGCAGAAGAATTATGGATTCTTTATGGCACAGGAAAGCACTCGCGTTATATTCCCGCGCATACAATTGCATCGACTATCGGACCTGACAAGGCATCTGTTCTACCGTTGTTTCACGCTTTTACTGGGTGTGATACTGTTTCCTTTTTTGGAGGTCGAGGAAAGAAAACTGCATGGGATGTATGGATTATATTTCCAGAGCTAACATTAGCGTTGCAAGAGCTAAATTTGTTGCCAGAAAGGATTGATTGTTCGTCCTTGCAGGTAAATCAGAAACCGCCAAAGGCATGTATTATCTATCAAATAAGGTCTCTATTATGATTCATATAATGTTTTGCAGGTGATTGAGCGATATGTGGTCCTCTTATACGATCGTACAAGTAATCTTACCAGAGTCAATGAGGCTAGACAAGAGTTGTTTGCAAAAAAGTCCAGAACACTGGATAACATTCCACCAACCCAAGAAGCGTTGCTCCAGCACAGTAAGCGTGCATTGTTGCAAGGTGGATTTTTCTGGGGGCAGTGCTGCTTGAAAGAGCAGGTTATACCAACTCCGTCAGGTTGAGGCTGGTACCGTGATGAAAATTTTTGGTTACCAAAGTGGACAAATCTCCCTCAAGTTAAAGATGCCTGTTATGAACTTATTCGTTGCGGATGCAAAAGTTCATGTTCTAGTCGTTGTAAATGCGTCAAAGCACATTTAGTTTGTACTCGTTTGTGTAATTGTGGGGGTGATTGTCAATAACATGAGGGCATTAAAATTATTTTAATATTACTGTTCTTCGTTAGGCGCTTTTCCAATGTATTTAAGAAAGAGCAATAACACTAAACAAAAGTGCTGAGTCAGCATTTTTAAAACACTTTTAATGTAGAATATTTCAGAATGTATTGCTCAAAAGCAAAAGTTGTGATATAGTTTTTTTATCGTCTTTAGCTGTTGTATAAGAATATACAGGGAAATTGCAGATTTCTCTGAACTTTATTTTTTTTACTACCGATTACGTCATCAAACACGACATTCGCAGAACTCGTTTTAAATGTAAAATATGGGCTGGCCCTATATCAAAATTTTGTGTTACTAGGCATAGTAAGAATGTGAGAAAGTTTCATACTTGTATCATCAAAGTGAAGAATTTTGTCATTAACAGCTGGACTATTATGACACTTCTGTCGAAAGAACTTGTCATCCTAGTTTTAAGTAGAGCTATTTTCAAACATCAAATGGCAGCATCTATTGTTGTTTAGTCGATAGAAGATTATATTATTGACAGGATAATATAGCTGTTATATTGACGATGAATGTTATCTGATTTCATTTTTGGACGTTTCAACAACATAGAAATATTTTCCTCCTTAATATTGTATTTCCAAACTTTGTTAACTCTTCGTTTTTTATTTGACTAATCTGATATACATGGCTACATTTCATTATACATTCGGAACAGTTGCTGAAAATTGTTACAATTCAACCATTTGAAATGATTCTAAAATGCAAAAAATACCATCAGTTTTAAAACGTGCATTGATAAGCAAAATAGTTTCTATTTGTGCACCAACAGTATTTTTAGTTTTAAAAACCGTCAATAAAACAACTAGTTAATCATGACAATCTTCTTTTTCTACAGTTCCCAGTGAACCACGTAACCTTACAGCTTCAAATCGTAGCTCCATTGAGCTTATTGTATCGTGGGATGAACCTGAAAAGTTCAATGGAATTTTACTGTCATACACAGTTTATTATAAACGTATTCGTGATGACAACGACGAAGTTGTACATAGTATGAATTATGAAAGCAGAAACACTTTACCAGACGTGAGAACATTGAATCTAACAAATCTTAGTAAGTAGTTTTACTCATCATTTAAGCATAACAACTGGCATCCACAATTTTTCACGAGGTTACATGTTAGTTTTTAAAGTTTTTTGATTTATTATTATTGCAAATTGGAATACATATTGATATTGCGATTAGCCATAAATCACGTTAATATATCTCTGTAGCTTTTTTAAGCTGAAACTATCAACAATTCCATAACATTTTCTCGATTTATATAAAGTGGTTTTTTTAAAGATTAGATTTTTTTATTGATATAGGAAAATATAGCGTTTACGATGTCAAAGTGAGTGCATCAACTGTAATTGGAGAAGGAAGGAATTCTACGGTAAAAGAGTTTTTGACAGATGAAGACAGTAAGTTTATTTTCGAAGCGTTGTTTATAAACAGTGTGTTTTGTTGAGATAATCACTAAAATTTATTTTTGTATATGGAGATATTCATAAATTTGTTTTCTTTTGCCTTTTGCATTCAAGGTGTTGTCTTTCTTTTTTTAGCTCCTGGCCCTCCAGTTAATGTAACATTACAAAGATCATCGTCCACAGTACTTAACTTAACATGGGAGATACCAAGGGATCCTAATGGGATCATTCGTGGGTATAATGTATCTTGGAGTAAAGTATTAAATGATAAGAATGAAACAGTTCCCATGAACAGGAATAGTACCAACACCACCAATACTTCGTTTTCCATTTCAAATCTTGGTTAGTTTTACCTTAATGAGAAAGTTATTTTTTGTATTACTTAACACACATGTCAGCGAAATTTTAGATAGAACTGCATAAATCTATTCTTTCTGCTAATGTTTATGAAGGAGTTCATTTAAAGTATTTAAGAAAAACTTTATCATGTTATAGATCCATATTCTATTTACAATGTAAGTTTGAATGCATTTACCCTCGTTGGGAATGGAGAAGTTGTAGATCTCAGTGAACGAACCGGTGAAACAGGTAATCTCTAATTAGAAGAAGTTGACAAGATTTCTTTTAGAAATCTGTATTTGGACATAGCTGAGTGTTTAAAAACCTGACTCATGTTTTATGTGATGAATGTTTGTGTATTTAAAATTTTATCAACCGATCATTGCACTTCAATCAACAGAACATTTTTCATCCAAATTTTAAGTTGAGCATGACATATTTGTAAACATAAAATGACAACATCTATTGTAATTTGATCGATAGATAGAAATATTTCACTCCTTATTGTATTTCCAAACTTTTGTTCACTCTTCGTTTTTATTTGACTAATCTGATATACATGGCTACATTTCATTGTACATTCGTGACAGTAAAATTGTTTAAATTCAACCATTGGAAATAATTCTTTAAGCAAAATTACTATCAGTTTTAAAACGTGCATTGATAAGGAAAGTAGTTTCTATATATAAATCAACACTATTTTAAGTATTAAAACCGTCAATGAAACAACCAGTTGATCATGACAATATTCTTTTTGTACAGTTCCCAGTGAACCACGTAACCTTACAGCTTCAAATCGTAGCTCCATTGAGCTTATTGTATCGTGGGATGAACCTGAAAATTTCAATGGAATTTTACTGTCATACACAGTTTATTATAAACGTATTCGTGATGACAACAACAAAGTTGTACATGGTATGAATTATGAAAGCAGGAACACTTTACCAGACGTGGGAACATTGAATCTAACAAATCTTGGTAACTGGTTTGTTTATCATGGTTTATACATAACAGTTGGCATGTACAATGTCTCACGAGGTTATATGTTAGTTGTTAAAGTTTTGTGATTTATTACTGTTGTAAGTTGGAATACATATTGATATTGCGGTTAGTCACAATTCACGTTGATATATCTCCGTAGTTTTTGTAAGCAATAACTGTCAACAATTCCATGACATTTTCTCGTTTTATATAAAGTGGTTTTTTTAAAGATTAGATTTTTTTATTATAATATAGAAAAATATAGTGTTTACGAAGTCAAAGTGAGTGCATCAACTGTAATTGGAGAAGGAAGGAATTCTACGGTAAAAGAGTTTTTGACAGATGAAGACAGTAAGTTTATTTTCGAAGCGTTGTTTATAAACAGTGTGTTTTGTTGAGATAATCACTAAAATTTATTTGTGTATATGGAGATATTCATAAATTTGTTTTCTTTTGCCTTTTGCATTCAAGGTGTTGTCTTTCTTTTTTTAGCTCCTGGCCCTCCAGTTAATGTAACATTACAAAGATCATCGTCCACAGTACTTAACTTAACATGGGAGATACCAAGGGATCCTAATGGGATCATTCGTGGGTATAATGTATCTTGGAGTAAAGTATTAAATGATAAGAATGAAACAGTTCCCATGAACAGGAATAGTACCAACACCACCAATACTTCGTTTTCCATTTTAAATCTTGGTTAGTTTTACCTTAATGAGAAAGTTATTTTTTGTATTACTTAACACACATGTCAGCGAAATTTTAGATAGAGCTGCATAAAACTATTCTTTCAGTTAATGTTTATGAAGGAGTTTATTTAAAGTATTTAATAAAAACATTATCATGTTATAGATCCATATTCTGTTTACAATGTAAGTTTGAATGCATTTACCTCCGCTGGGAATGGAGAAGCTGTAGATCTCAGTGAACGAACCGGTGAAGAAGGTAATCTCTAATTGAAACAATTTGACAAGATTTCTTTTTAGAAATCTGTATTTGGAACATAGCTGAGTGTCTGAACAACCTGACTCATGTTTTTATGTTATGAATGTTTGTGTATTTGACATTTGTATCAACTGATCATTGCACTTCAATCAACAGAACATTTTTTATCCAAATCTTAAGTTGACCATGACATATTTGGAAACATAAAATGACAACATCTATTGTTATTTAGTCGATAGATAGAAATATTTCACTCCTTAATATTGTATTTCCAAACTTTTGGTCACGCTTCGTTTTTTATTTGACAAATCTGATATACATGGCTATATTTCCATTATACATTCGTGAAAAGAAAAATTGTTTAAATTCAACCATTGGAAATAATTCTTTAAGGCAAAAATTACTATGAGTTTTAAAACGTGCAGTGAAAAGGAAAGTAGTTTCTATATATAAATCAACACTATTTTAAGTATTGAAAACCGTCAATGAAACAACCAGTTAATCATGACATTATTCTTTTTGTACAGTTCCCAGTAAACCACGTAACCTTAGAGCTTCAAATCGTAGCTCCATTGAGCTTATTGTATCGTGGGATGAACCTGAAAATTTCAACGGAATTTTACGGTCATACACAGTTTATTATAAACGTATTCGTGATGACAACGACGAAGTTGTAGATAGTATGAATTATGAAAGCAGAAACACTTTACCAGACGTGAGAACATTGAATCTAACAAATCTTGGTAAGTAGTTTTACTCATCATTTATGCATAACAACTGGCATCCGCCATTTCTCACGAGGTTATATGTTAGTTTATAAAGTTTTGTGATTTATTCTTGTTGCAAATTGGAATAAATATTGATAATGCGGTTAGTCACAACTGACGTTGATATGTCTCCGTAGTTTTTGTAACCAGTAACTGTCAACAATTCCATGACATTTTCTCGTTTTTTATAAAGTGGTTTTTTAAAGATTAAATTTTTTATTATAATATAGAAAAATATAGTGTTTACGAAGTCAAAGTGAGTGCATCAACTGTAATTGGAGAAGGAAGGAATTCTACGGTAAAGGAATTTTGACAGATGAAGACGGTAAGTTTATTTTCGAAGCATTGTTTATGAACAGTGTGTTTTGTTGAGATAATCACTAAAATTTATTTGTGAATATGGAGATATTCATAATTTGTTTTTTTTTGCATTCAACGTGTTGTCTTTCTTTTTTAGCTCCTGGCGCTCCAGTTAATGTAACATTACAAAGATCATCGTCCACAGTACTTAACTTAACATGGGAGATACCAAGTGATCCTAATGGGATCATTCGTGGGTATAATGTATCTTGGAGTAAAGTATTAAATGATAAGAATGAAACAGTTCCCATGAACAGGAATAGTACCAACACCACCAATACTTCGTTTTCCATTTCAAATCTTGGTTAGTTTTACCTTAATGAGAAAGTTATTTTTTGTATTACTTAACACACATGTCAGCGAAATTTTAGATAGAGCTGCATAAAACTATTCTTTCAGTTAATGTTTATGAAGGAGTTTATTTAAAGTATTTAATAAAAACATTATCATGTTATAGATCCATATTCTGTTTACAATGTAAGTTTAAATGCATTTACCTCCGCTGGGAATGGAGAAGCTGTAGATCTCAGTGAACGAACCGGTGAAGAAGGTAATCTCTAATTGAAACAATTTGACAAGATTTCTTTTTAGAAATCTGTATTTGGAACATAGCTGAGTGTCTGAACAACCTGACTCATGTTTTTATGTTATGAATGTTTGTGTATTTGACATTTGTATCAACTGATCATTGCACTTCAATCAACAGAACATTTTTTATCCAAATCTTAAGTTGACCATGACATATTTGTAAACAAAAAATGACAGCATCTATTGTTATTTAGTCGATAGATAGAAATATTTCACTCCTTAATATTGTATTTCCAAACTTTTGGTCACGCTTCGTTTTTTATTTGACAAATCTGATATACATGGCTATATTTCCATTATACATTCGTGAAAAGAAAAATTGTTTAAATTCAACCATTGGAAATAATTCTTTAAGGCAAAAATTACTATGAGTTTTAAAACGTGCAGTGAAAAGGAAAGTAGTTTCTATATATAAATCAACACTATTTTAAGTATTGAAAACCGTCAATGAAACAACCAGTTAATCATGACAATATTCTTTTTGTACAGTTCCCAGTGAACCACGTAACCTTACAGCTTCAAATCGTAGTTCCATTGAGCTTATTGTATCGTGGGATGAACCTGAAAATTTCAATGGAATTTTACGGTCATACACAGTTTATTATAAACGTATTCGTGATGACAACAACGAAGTTGTACATAGTATGAATTATGAAAGCAGAAACACTTTACCAGACGTGAGAACATTGAATCTAACAAATCTTGGTAAGTAGTTTTACTCATCATTTATGCATAACAACTGGCATCCACTATTTCTCACGAGGTTATATGTTAGTTTTTAAAGTTTTGTGATTTATTCTTGTTGCAAATTGGAATAAATATTGATAATGCGGTTAGTCACAACTGACGTTGATATGTCTCCGTAGTTTTTGTAACCAGTAACTGTCAACAATTCCATGACATTTTCTCGTTTTTTATAAAGTGGTTTTTTAAAGATTAAATTTTTTATTATAATATAGAAAAATATAGTGTTTACGAAGTCAAAGTGAGTGCATCAACTGTAATTGGAGAAGGAAGGAATTCTACGGTAAAGGAATTTTGACAGATGAAGACAGTAAGTTTATTTTTGAAGCATTGTTTATGAACAGTGTGTTTTGTTAAGACAATCACTAAAATTTATTTTTGAATATGGAGATATTCATAAATTTGTTTTCTTTTGCCTTTTGCATTCAAGGTGTTGTCTTTCTATTTTTAGCTCCTGGCCCTCCAGTTAATGTAACATTACAAAGATCATCGTCCACAGTACTTAACTTAACATGGGAGATACCAAGTGATCCTAATGGGATCATTCGTGGGTATAATGTATCTTGGAGTAAAGTATTAAATGATAAGAATGAAACAGTTCCCATGAACAGGAATAGTACTAACACCACCAATACTTCGTTTTCCATTTCAAATCTTGGTTAGTTTTACCCTAATGAGAAAGTTATTTTTTGTATTACTTAACACACATGTCAGCGAAATTTTAGATAGAGCTGCATAAAACTATTCTTTCAGTTAATGTTTATGAAGGAGTTTATTTAAAGTATTTAATAAAAACATTATCATGTTATAGATCCATATTCTGTTTACAATGTAAGTTTGAATGCATTTACCTTCTTTGGAAATGGAAAAGCTGTAGATCTCAGTGAACGAACCGGTGAAGCAGGTATTTTCTAATTGAAACAAGTTGATAAGATTTCTTTTCAGAAATCTGTATTTGAGACATAGCTTAGTGTCTTAACAACTTGACTCATGTTTTTATGTTTTGAAAGTTTGTGTATTTAACATTTTTATCAACCGATCATTGCACTTCAATCAACAGAACATTTTTCATCCAAATTTTAAGTTGAGCATGACATATTTGTAAACATAAAATGACAACATCCGTTGTTATTTAGTCGATAGATAGAAATATTTCACTCCTTAATATTGTATTTCCAAACTTTTGTTCAATCTTCGTTTTTTAATTGACTGATCTTATATACATGGCTACATTTCGTTGTACATTCGTGACAGTAAAAGTTATTTAAATTCAACCATTGGAAATAATTCTTTAATGCGAAAATTACTATGAGTTTTAAAACGTGCAGTGATAAGAAAAGTAGTCTTTATATATAAATCAACACTATTTTAAGTATTAAAAACCGTCAATAAAACAACCAGTTGATCATGACATTATTCTTTTTGTACAGTTCCCAGTGAACCACGTAACCTTAGAGCTTCAAATCGTAGCTCCATTGAGCTTATTGTATCGTGGGATGAACCTGAAAATTTCAACGGAATTTTACGGTCATACACAGTTTATTATAAACGTATTCGTGATGACAACAACGAAATTGTAGATAGTATGAATTATGAAAGCAGAAACACTTTACCAGACGTGAGAACATTGAATCTAACAAATCTTGGTAAGTAGTTTTACTCATCATTTATGCATAACAACTGGCATCCGCAATTTCTCACGAGGTTATATGTTAGTTTTCAAAGTTTTGCGATTTATTATTGTTGCAAATTGGAATACATATTGATATTGTGATTAGCCACAATTTACGTTGATATATCTCTGTAGTTTTTGAAAGCAATAACTGTCAACAATTCCATGAAATTTCCTCGTTCTATATAAAGTGGTTTTCTAAGGATTAGATATTTTTATTGACAGAAAAATACAGTGTTTACGAAGTCAAAGTCAGTGCATCAACTGTAGTTGGAAAAGGAATGAACTCTACGGTAAAGGAATTCTTGACAGATGAAGACAGTAAGTTTATTTTTGAATGCATTGTTTATGAACAGTGTTTTTTGTTGTGATAATCACTAAAATTCATTTATGAATATGAGACATTCATAAATTTTTTTTTCTTTTGCATTTAACGTTTTGCCTTTCTTATTTTAGCTCCTGGCGCTCCAGTTAATGTAACATTACAAAGATCATCGTCGTCCGTACTTAACTTAACGTGGGAGACACCAAGGGATCCTAATGGGATCATTCGTGGATATTATATATTATGGTGTAAAGTAATAAACGATAAGAATGAAACAGTTCCCATGAACAGGAATAGTACCAACACTACGAAAACTTCATTTTCAATTTCAAATCTTGGTTAGTTTTACTCTTGTGAGAAATTGCCTTTTGTATTACTTAACACACATGTCAGAGAAATTTTAGATTAGTGCTGTGCACCGGAGGCCGGAGTTAGGCCTGAGCTCCGGCTATTTTTGACTGCCGGAGCCGGAGTTTGTTCATCTCTGGCAAAACTCTGGAAGCTGTTGTTTGGGCTGCAAAATACTGTCAAACTTTGGTAAACGTGTCTGATCAATATATTTTTGTATCAACGAATGTTAATATCGGCTAAAATGAAAAAACTTGCATGAAAATAATCATTTTATGCATGACACAACATGACGCTAGATTGCGTTCACACATGCTAATTTATGATTGAAAGTCGGAGTACAGAAATTTAACTTTACATGTAAAAATCTTACTGATGATATACCTTAAACTGTTGAATAGCGACTTGCAAAATTAACCAGCCACAACCAGTGATTCGAGTTATAAAATAGCCAGAGCTGGTGTTAGAAGCCGGAGTTCAGATTTGACAAGAGGCCGGAGCTAAAAAAAACAGGAGTTCGAACAGCCCTATTTTAGATAGAACTGTATAAAACTATTCTTTCAGCCAAAGTTTATAAAGGAGTTTATTTAAAGTATTTAATGAAAACTTTATCATATTATAGATCCATATTCTGTTTACAATGTAAGTTTGAATGCATTTACCATCTTTGGAAATGGAAAAGCTGTAGATCTCAGTGAACGAACCGGTGAAGCAGGTATTTTCTAATTGAAACAAGTTGATAAGATTTCTTTTCAGAAATCTGTGTTTGGGACATAGCTGAGTGTCTCAACAACCTGACTCATGTTTTTATGTGATGAATGTTTGTGTATTTAACATTTGTATCAACCGATCATTGCACTTCAATCAACAGAACATTTTTCATCCAAATTTGAAGTTGAGCATCACATATTTGTAAACATAAAATGACAACATCTATTGTTATTTAGTCGATAGATAGAAATATTTCACTCCTTAATATTGTATTTCCAAACTTTTGTTCACTCTTTGCTGTTTTTTTTTACTAATCTTATATACATGGCTACATTTCAATATACATTCGTGACAGTAAAAATTGCTTCAATTCAACTATTGGAAATAATTCTTTAATGCAAAATTACTATCAGTTTTAAAACGTGCATTGATAAGAAAAGTAGTTTCTATATATAAATCAACACTATTTCAAGTATTAAAAATCGTCAATAAAACAACTAGTTAATCATAACAATATTCTTTTTCTACAGTTCCCAGTGAACCACGTTACGTTAGAGCCTTAAATGTTAGCTCTACTCAACTTAATGTATCGTGGGATGAACCTGAAAAATTCAACGGAGTTTTACTGTCATACACAGTTTATTACAAACTTATTCGTGATGACAACAACGAAGTTGTACATAGTATGAATTATAAAAGCAGAAACACCTCAACAGACGTGAGAACATTGACTCTAACAATTCTTGGTAAGTAGTTTTATTGAACATTTATGCTTAACAACTAGCATCCACAATTTCTGACGAGGTTACATATTAGTTTTTAAAGTTTTGTGATTAATTATTGTTGAAAAATTGGAATACATATTGATATTGCGATTAGCCACAATTTACGTTGATATGTTTCCGTAGTTTTTGTAAGCAATAACTATCAACAATTCCATGACATTTTCTCGTTTTACATAAAGTGGGTTTTTTAAAGATTTGATTTTTTCATTGACATAGAAAAGTATAGCGTTTACAAAGTCAAAGTCAGTGCATCAACTTCAGTTGGAGAAGGAAGGAACTCTACGGTAAAGGAATTCTTGACAAATGAAGACAGTAAGTTATTTTTGAAGCATTGTTATGAACAGTGTCTTTTGTTGAGATAATCACTAAAATTTATTTTTGTATATGGAGATATTCATAAATTTGTTTTCTTTTGCCTTTTGCATTCAACGTGTTGTCTTTCTTTTTTAGCTCCTGGCCCTCCAGTTAATGTAACATTACAAAGATCATCGTCCACAGTACTGAACTTAACATGGGAGATACCAAGCGATCCTAATGGGATCATTCGTGGGTATAATATATCTTGGAGTAAAGTATTAAATGATAAGAATGAAACAGTTCCCATGAACAGGAATAGTACCAACAGCACCAAAACTTCATTTTCAATTTCAAATCTTGGTTAGTTTTACCCTAATGTGAAATTTACTTTTTGTATTGCTGAACACATTCAGCAAAATTTTAAATCGAGCTGCATTGAACTATTCTTTCAGGCAACGTTCATGAAGGAGTTTATTTAAAATATTTAATAAAAACTTTATCATAATATAGATCCATATTCTGTTTATAATGTAAGTTTGAATGCGTTTACCATCGTCGGAAATGGAGAAGTTGTAAATGTCAGTGAAAGAACTGATGAAGCAGGTAATCTCTAGTTAAAGAAGTTTTTTACAATCTATAATGAAGTTCTTCTGAGTGTCTTGAAAACAACCTGATTTATGTCTTGATTTTCAAACACACCTCTTTGAACAGTTCACTAAAATAATTTAACTTTCCATTTGCTGGACTTTTTTTAACATGTGTTCTTCCTTTCGTTTTGTGTTTCTCTCGTGCATTAATAACCATTAGAAAATTGAACACCAAATAACATGATAGTAGTAGCGTGAAATCAACGTCTAATTGACGATTACTTATAAACTATTTCTACACGTTGTTTCTATGGAAAAAAGATTGAAAAAGCTATAGTTTGAAGCTATATTTATCGTATTTCAAAATTGTATTAAAGGTGCTTTCGACAACCGAAAACTTTTTTATTTATTTCGTGTTGCATGGTATAAATGTAGCGATACTTTTGTAATTGAAGTTTTGCTTGCTTTTCACTTTTTTAAATGCTCTAAATATTTTTTAAAATTATGATAACTACATGCAATGACTTATTATTAATGAAAGTAGAATAAGAAAAAATCCCAATTGATATTACACATAAAGTTATCTACGATTACTTCATGTCGATGATTTGTGAAACGCTTTTTTTGTTAAATGCGATTGTAGGATTGCATAAAGTTAAAAATGCTTTGCAACGAATGCAGATACCCGACGTTTGGTAGTGTGTATTCACTAAAATTGTTCCCATTTTGAAAATATGGCAATTATATCATGTTAAATATTAAATGAAAATTTAAATTCAAGTTGCATAACAACTAAATTTATTGAAAACTGCGAAAGCGCTGCAAGTGAAGTGAATAGAAGTCTTTAAAACAAAATATAGTTTAGGGACATAAATATATTGCTGCCATTATTTTTTATTCAATTTAGCTCCATCTGAACCACGTGATTTAAACATTTCTGATGTCAAATTTAATGAATTTACTCTTTCTTGGGATGAACCAGAACGTAGAAATGGAATCATTCTTGGTTATACAGTGTATTATAAACTTATAAGGAATGATAAAAACATGACTGTTGATCAAAGACAGTGGATGAAGATGGAAAATATTCAAGAAAGGAGATTAACACTGCAAAATCTTGGTGAGATGTTTTTTATAATTTTAGATACCAAATAAGTAATGAACATAAATCTTTAAACTCTTTTATTTTGTTTCAGAAACATTTAGTTTTTATGAAGTCAAAGTAAGTGCAACAACTTCAGCAGGTGAAGGAAGAAATGCATCTGGTGAATTTAGAACTGGAGAGCCTAGTAAGACTACCTAAAGAACATAGGAACTTATTTTAAATTCTTATATGATACAATGTGAATGTTTTCATTTAGATTCTGGTCCCGCCGAGAATGTTACACTGATTACTCTTTCATCATCACGTCTTCTGTTGAGATGGGAAGAACCTAGTAATACAAATGCTGAAATTACTGGATATAATGTAACATGGAAGATGGTTTCCAATGATAAGAAACAAAATGTCAATGGTCGTTTAAGGCATGCACATCTTGCAAGAAACAAATCATTGTTTGTCATTACCGACTTAAGTATGTATGTATAGAGCCCTTTGATAATTTCTTTTGGTATGGGGAAGTGCTAATGCAAAAGATAAAATGTGATTTATCGTTTTGACTTATTGCATACATTTAATTTATTAGACGTTGCTATACATTTTATGGATTATAAAAAAAGTACCAAGACTTAGTTTGAAATTTGTTGATAACATGATTTCGGAAATTATTTAGAGCATCTAGTATAAAATAATCGATTTTCACAGTGACAAATTTTGACAGGAATGGACTATACAATCCATTGAGCATGTCCAACAAATATTAAAACCAAAACGAAACAAGTTTATTAACGTTCAATTTGCTGTTAAATGTTTCTTTTTTGTTACAACCTTAATCACATATATTAAAGTTGAATGGTGAGCATTTTGAAAAATATTTTTTAATATTTTTGTTAAAAGTAGTTTCAGTCAAGAAAATTCAAGAAAACATGAGAATCAGTCTCCTCGATGATGTCATTAAAAATTTATATTTAGTTTATTAGCTATTAGATTTCACATCAAATTTAGGATTTTTTCTCTTTGTTATGGTGTATAAATTTTCTTTTCTGTTTTAGAACCGTTTTCTGAATACTTAGTTGCCATAAAAGCTATTACACTGATTGGACCAGGAGAGGTTGTTGAGAGACGGAGTCGAACAGGAGAAACCAGTAAGACGTTGTATGAATTAATATGTAATATAAACAAGTCAATATTCGGCGTTAAAAATGAAAACTGTTCTTTGTTTTTAAATCAAACTTGCCATAATTCAGATTAAACATGTGAAATCTCTGCTTTAAATTACAGTTTACAATTGTAATTTTCACATTATTTTAAGTCACTTTTATTCAACTTGTAATCACAATTATAAGATTTGATATGAGTCATGGACTTGTTATTTTTCCACAGTTCCCAGTGAACCACGTAACGTTAGAGCTTCAAATGTTAGCTCAACTCAACTTAATGTATCGTGGGATGAACCTGAAAAGTTCAATGGAATTTTACTGTCATACACAGTTTATTATAAACTTCTTCGTGATGACAACAAAGTTGTACCTGGTACAAGTTATGAAAGCAGAAACATTTCATCGGACGCAAGAACATTGATTTTGCACAATCTTGGTAAGCATTTGTATTACAAATTTGTATCCCATTGCAGTATGCATTATCAATTTTAAAGAATGATTTACCTTAAATTGCCTTGTGCATGTTTATGTACAAATTGTAAAATTTTAGAGACGATATTAAATTAATCTTGCAATTTTCACATTAATTTATTTACCTAAGAACATAAATGGCTGTGGTATTTTGTTTTCTGCATATTATTAAATGCATTTGATACAAATGAAAACAAAATATGAACATTGTAAAACGTTATATAAGACGTTTATATATGATTTTTAAATAATTTTTTTACGTATATGCCAATATAAAATATAGCATGAATACCTGACATAAATAATGCATTATCAGAAAAAAAAATGGGTTGTCTTAAAATCGTTTTCTGTCTCTAAAAAGGTACTATTAATAGCAAAAATTACTGCTAGAACGTTAATTGAGAAAAAGGCATTTGTTCATATACTTAGCTTCGCCAGGTTGTTGCTTTAGAAAAGAATTTTACTTTCAAAAAAAATTAGTTGGGTACAACAAAATATATGAATAAACACTTCCCTAAAATAAAAGTTATATTTACACCCTGTTTGCAATCAAAATAGACCTATTCTCTTTCACAGTAATCATGTTAATATAATGTAAATTGACTTGACTGGGGACTTCCCCTCTTTCAAGAAAAGTTCGGGGTCTTAGCCTCCCTTCTGACGTCTCTGATAGCGTAATTATCTAAGCAGATGTTTCGCTGTTTATAGGTTCACCAGGCTCTTTGAGAAATAAAAGTTTAATTACTTTCGAACAATTATACTGTCCTAAAAAATCATTCTGTCGTTTAGAAAAATACAGTTTATATGAAGTTAAAGTGAGTGCATCGACCAGAATAGGAGAAAGTGAAAATTCTACAAATGAATATCGAACTAATGAAGATGGTAAGTTGAATGAATTAAAATCTATTTATTTATGTTTGTTTGAAGATTTACTTTGTATGCTTACTGCACATAAGAAAAGAGAGAAAAAATGCTGTGAAAATCAAAATTTATAATTTTTTATTTGTAAAAATTTTTATCTCGTGATCATATTTCATAGTGAAACAGTTAATAGCCACAAATCCACTAGATCATAACTTGACAATGGACTTGCAGTTGTGCAAAACAACTCAATTCATTTTTTACACTATAGTGCAATTTTTCTACAAACTATACCTTCAAACTTTTAAACTCTATATATACTATGTTTTCAAATTATAGTGTATATTGAACCCAAATCACCGTTACGAATTTAAGGAGTCAAAACTTGTGATGCTTCTTTTCGTTAATGCAGGTTCATTTAAAAAAAACAACTTAGAAACCTGCACTCATACGAAGCACCTAACACTACTCACTTGTCAATGTTTTCAAGGCAGTTAAACATTATAATAATACTAAAAAATATGTCTATAAAATCCTCTCAACTAATCTAATGTTCTGTTTACTGACTGATATAGTCAGTGCTGCATATGAAAGCCATGTTGAGTCAAACTGTCACAAAAAATGATAAAATCTATCATGAATTTTTAGTTCCTGGTGTTCCAAGCAATGTTTCATGCGGGCAGTTGGCAAAGAAGTCATTAAATGTCAGTTGGAAAGAACCTTTAGATCCAAATGGAAAAGTTCGTCTGTATAAACTTACTTGGATAAAATTAAGAAACAGAAATGCTGATGAGTGGAATACATTTGGAGAAAGACAGTCTTATACAACACCAAACACAAGTAAAACAGATATTGGTGACAATAGTTTGGGTAAGTTTATTAAGTTGAATTGTAAACATTATAACAAATTTTGAGGATAATGAGCACATTAAGTTGGCATTATTGGCCTTCAATTTGTTTGTACATTTTGTATCCAAACTAAGAATTGCTTAAAAATGTGATGATTAAGCTTTAAAATGTGATTGAATAATACATTTATCATGCAGAGCTATTCCACAGATTTGTATATTTGAGATAATCTTTCGTTGAGACTTTTCACTTGTAATTAGCATTCACTTGATCACTTTTCTGCAAGTATATAAGACTAATTTTAAATGTTTGTACGTAAAGTTGTCGTCTACGACACAAGGTAAACTTTTCTCGCTTTTTTTTGCTTAGAACCGTTTACAATATATCAAGTAAGTGTTGCTGCTCAGACGCTCGAAAGATTAAGTTTTGGTAAACAACAAAACATATCTTGTAACACAACTGAAGATGGTAATTCAATTAACTTCAATTATTTAATTATTTTTGCGTGTTGTAGACATATAAAAAAGCCAAAATCCTTATGACCCTCTTATTATTTTATATAGTTCCCAATAAAGCTCCCAACTTAATTAGTGCTTATCATTTGGGGCCATACAGCGCTAGAATAACATGGGAACCATTGAATAACCTGAGCTGGCAAGCTGCCAGTATCATTTATGTTGTAACATATCAATTGGTGGGTGATAATAACAGACTAACTGTTGAATCGGACGTGCTCCAGGTAGATCTGAATGGTTTGAATCCTAATTCAAGTTATAATGTTACTGTTTTGGCGAGAAACAGAGTTGGTGATGGTATAGAAAGTAATTCAATGGAGGTTATGACAAATTTGTGTAAGTCTTCAGGTTTTTTTGAAAATGCTAGTTTCATTAACTTCATAATCTCTATTTTATCATTAGCAAAGATTTGCTTATTGAGTAACTATACTGAATACTTTTTGAACAGCGTATTTTCCGTGGTAAATGTTGTTAGTTCTAAAATAAACTGTTAAAAACTAAAATAAAGAATTGTTTTCAACCTGTTCTTTTAGAGTTATTTAGTTATCATTTACCACGTAAAATACGCTATTCAAACCAATATTTAAGTTTATTTTAGAACTAAATATTTGTTTTATAACTATCTGAATAAAATATAAAAGCAATAGCTGCAACATTCCTTGAAGTTTAGTGCAAAATTTGTTTTTTGTTATACATACCGCGTAGAATTATTTTGTTAAATCAGCAAAAATAGTACGACGTGCTCTATTCACAAAAAGGGCCCTGTATTTGAAAGGAAAGTTACAAAGTTATTTAATTTACTTCTAGACAAGTAAAATCAAACGTATAAAATATTTCACGTTTGTTTCAAATCAACTAATTAATTCAATCTTTCCAATTTATGTGATACCAACTTTGTTTATTTTTCAGCTTTTACTCCGTGCAGATAACATCAACTGTGATTCCGTTTACCTTGGAAGAATATCAAGATGAAAATGTCACGTAAGGGAATTTATATATAGTTTTTTCAACATTTACTCCAATTAAGATGCACCAAAGCAAAATATCCAGATTTACATCAACTAGAATGTATAATGTAACTTAAATATAGCTGCGCTATAAGATATAGCTAACAAATATGTATATACTCAGATTTCTAATATCGCTAAAACGCTCATCATTACTAAGGATTTAGTTTAAATAAGATCTAGACCATGGCTAAGATTTTTTTCCGTAATCAAAATCTATTCCTAACTAACTGTAAGAAATCGATAAGCTTTTTAAAAAATATTGCGGCATCGGTAGCAATGAAATGTTTTTCTTCAATATTACTGAGAAAACTTTCTTGCCTTGAATGTTTGCCTTCTAAAAATTAATAAGAATATTGACAATTTTATCTTTATATTATTGAACATTTATCATGTAGAATCTATCAAATCCTCGTTTTGGAAGTGATTGAAAACCTCAGACTTCCTGATACAGATATAAACGTGACCAGGTATTATGTTAATCGAGTAGCTGGTGAACCTTACATAACTGCAGAGTTCCCATCATCGGAATTTGATATGTATAAAGACTTTCTTGTTGGTCAAGGAAACTCTTTCACGAATGCAAAACGAAGAAAAAAACGAGCAGGTATTAAAATTACTTATTTTTGTGGGTAGCCACTGCGTAGACGCGGCTACCACAATGCTAACTGAAAAAGTCTCAGTCTGTCTGTCTGTCGTTATCCTCGATGATACGAACAATGACGAAGAATGCCGTTTTGGGATTTGGATGTTTTCCTTCGCTCCCTCGAATGATTCCAGATAGATCATTGGTCCAGATTCCAGACTGAGAGAATCTTCTGTGAAGCAAAGCTATATTGTTAAAGAGCATTTTTATCATTCAAATAATTAGTATTTGCAATCGGCACAGAATCGTTTGAGGCATACTCTTATAGCAAATCTGCAAAACAACACCTATATACTATTGCCTGTTGTCATTTATTTACGCAGAAGTAAACACGAGCTTATCTTGTTAGTTTGGCCAGCGAATTATCGTAGTCTTCACTAAAGTTCGCTTTCAAAGATCTGCATTATTCGCACAGAATCGTTGGAAATATAGTTTTATGAATCGTGTAAATTAATAGAAGTCATAAATGTGTTGATTTATCGGTTCAGTGAACAACATTTACACGTCAAGTAACTGTTTGAAAACAGAAATTGATGACGATATTAATGACAAAAAACGATTTTCAATGAAAAAAATAATGTATTGATCTCAATAAAATGAGTGAGAAATCTTAAGGACTCCATTCTTACCGTTAAAGCACAGTCACGTGACATGCAATCTAAGTAAGGGCGCTCAGTGATAGCATAAAAAGTTGGAAATTACTGCATCATTTCATTAAACTGTGAGCATAAAACACATTTTTGAATCCCAACCATGTTTTGTGTTAATAATATTAAATACATATTATTTTTGAACTAGTTTTATGAAGCCACTCATAGCCATATTTTTCGCCGGTTACCCACAAGTCAGCAACGTACCTATTTTTATTAAATGCGATTACATTGTTTATAAAAAAATTTCAAAACTGACTCTTTCAGCTTCTATAAACATTGTTAACGGTCCGTTAACTGAAGGTCGCTCTTATCGTTTACTACAACGTGGTTTGGATGATAAAAGAACAGTTATTAGAACGAGAGCTTGGACTGACACAATACAAACGATGAAAATTGTGAAAATTGATCATGACGACGACTCTCCTGTTGGTGTCATAGTTGGTGTTGTTGTTGCAGCAGTCATTTTGGTTATTTTGATTGTAATTGCCGTGTTTTACATCAGAAGACGACGTGGTAACAACAGAAAAAATATTTTAGGTAATAAATGAAAAAATTGCGTGTCCGATATCAGAATTAACACAATGCGGTCAAAGGCTCACTGAACAAGCTTTCGACTGTTTGTCTACAGAGTTCAACGTGTTATAAAAGAGATTAATGGGATGTAAGAGCAGTAATACTATAGATACATGAATAAAGAAGTGATATCTACAATGTTACATCCCAGTAACCTCCTTTGAAACCCGTAAAGCTTGTTCAATAAAATATTTTTCAATATAAGTGAACGTTTGACCGCATTAAGTCAATTGTTGTTGTGCAAAATTGCACTTTATAAATTTTGTGTGATAATAGTTGCTATCTGTTTTACTCTGCCAGTACGTTATTGTGGATATTTAAAAAAGAATAAAGGCGACATTGGTGGTAAGGTTCTGTCGTGAACGTCGATATTGGCGCGGGGGGGGAGGGCTTCTGCTTAGCTGTTACTGTTTACAAAATTTTGTCTTTAAACTAAAATTTCTGTTGAAAACATCAAATTTAAATAAATCGTGGAAAAAAGTTTTAAAGCGTTGTTCGTAATTCTTGATTATTAATAATACATTTACTTTTGCAGACCTTGACGGTTTCGTCAAATTCATCATTAGGTCGTTATATAGTTAAAGTGGATTATATTGAATCTGACCATAAGCTATGGAATATGCGATTCGATAGCCAAAATTTTATGTCCTCTTCCACAAACTTTATTCCAGATTTATAAGGCGATAAAATTCAGCAACTAATAAAAAAAGAGTCAAAATACAATATTCTCTGGCTACACATTGTTGTGTTAACTATATATTTTTGTTTTCATGAAAAAGCATGACTTCATTTCAGAAAAATTGAGACTGTCAAGAAAAAATGTACGTTTTTCTATTGTCCAGTCTTCGTGTAAAAAATTAACCGCAAATTTTGCCTATAAAGTCTTGAAATTGATGGCGAACAATATATGTTTCCATGTTTTTGATTTTTAGACAATATTGAACTGGAAAATCGAGGTTTTGAATCATGTGAGGTATTGGCTGTTGCAGAATTTAATGAACATTGTCGCAAATCTGCAACAAACTCGAACAGTCTCTACTCTATAGAGTACATGGCAATTCCTCGAGAGAATGCGAATCTTTCTATGAGTATTGCTGAACTAGAAGTTAACAAAGAAAGCAATCGATATAACAATATCTTATGTTACGATGACAATCGAGTGATTCTTAAAACTGATCCAAGTGGCAATGACTATATAAATGCCAGTTACCTGGATGGATGTGAAAAAGAGAAGGCATACATAGCAACTCAAGGACCATTGGAAACGACGTGTGAACAATTCTGGCGAATGGTTTGGGAAAATTTAAGCAGTGTAATTGTTATGGTATGTATTACATGTGATGTGTTCATGTGTCACGTAATATGTATTCACATGTCACATGGAATCTCACATGGGAAAATCACCTGTCACATGGGAAATTGTCTTATAGTAAAGTGGTCGAAAAAATAAAACGCAAAGATTGCCTTAGATAAATTATTCTTCATCAACCTTAAAATTTGTTTTACTTGTTTTGTTTTTAAATTATCCATCCAATAATATAAACTGCATAGTCTCGTACCATTTACAAATTGTTTTATGGAATCAGGTTACAGGACTGGAAGAGGATCGAAAAGTAAAATGTCATCAATATTGGCCATCAAAAGGAAGCGCTGAATATGGTGAATTTGTTGTTACGTTGTTGGAGGAATTTGAACTTACAGATTATACCATTAGAACATTTAAAGTTGTTGGGGCAGGTATAAATTTACTCAATTGTTTTTGTTTGTATCTTAGAAGCTCTGTTACACGACTATGTTTATTTTTAAGTACACGAAAGTCGATGTTGTAAAAAATTTTTCAAAATATAGTGTATTTATATACACAATGTCTTTATTATGTTTTGTAGTAAGTGATTTGCAAAAATTTGCAATTTCGAAAATTAAGAATGGGACACTGTCTTATATTCTACAATACCTTCTCAGTACTAGTAATGTTGTAGCCTTACTCATCTTTTTCATTAGATAAACTTCAAGAGCGTTCAATCAAACAATTCCATTACACTGCGTGGCCTGACCATGGTGTACCGAGCAGTCCCAGTTCCCTTTTAAATTTCGTGCGCAAGTCATCTGCTGCAAACCCGCCAAATGCTGGACCAATGGTATGAAATCATTCTGAAGTTATTTGTTTTTCTGTATTTCTAAAGAAAAGACGTTCTTCACCAAAGTCTGTGGAGTGGTAGATCTTGTAGAATTTTTTATGTAATAGCTTTCATTATCTATTTAACATATAAGATGTCTATTCATTCTATAGCAGTGAAAATATTCAGCAAATCATTCTATTAATGTAAAAGTAAATGGAAATATTAGTTCATAAAGCTTGCATCAAACAAGAGTTTGCTTTATTTAATTTGTCTACTTTTAGTGTACTTTCAACTTTTAGGATACTAAAAACTGAATCGAATGATGATGTTTGTTGCTCTCTTCAGTGTTATATTATAGATACCTTTATGCACAATAAGTTTGTACAAGTTTACAATATATTTAGGTTGTACACTCAAGTGCAGGTGTTGGCAGAACAGGAACTTACGTTGTCATTGATACACAACTGAAACGAATTGCAAAACAAAAGACAGTTGACGTATATGGTAACGTTCAAAAACTACGCAATCAACGTTTGTTGATGGTTCAAGTTGAAGAACATATATCTTCATTCATAATGTGTTACTTGAAGCAATCAACAGTGAAGAGACAGAAATACCTGTAGAAGATTTTCCTGAAACTCTTAAAGAGATCATGAAAGTGAATCCTGAAACTGGTATGTAAAAATGAATGAATTAATGAAATGTTTTTTAATTTCATTGTCTGTTTTTGGCTGTCTAAATGAACATCGTGGGAGTATAGATAATGGTAAACTATTTATATATATATATGTATGTATAAAAGATAAACGTTTCTCCGGATTTTTAAATGATTTTTATTGAGCTTTCGACTCGTTGCTTCGAGCCTTCATCAGAATGAGGATATTTATTTACACGTGCTTTTAGCTTGGAGACGTTTAGAGCGTCTAATTGGATTAGTGGGTGGATTAATGTGATTGGATGGGGTGAAATGCGTTGCCATGGGTTTTGGTGTGTTGTTAATATGGTTGGTGTTAATAATATTAGTGTGTAGTGTTTTAGTTTTGGTGTTGTTTGTAGTACTAAAGTACTCGGACGCGCACAGACTAAACACGCACGCGAATTTAAAGAAGCTTGGTACAGTGAAGACAACGACACAATAAACAGACATATCGACATACCCATCATATACTCACAACTAAAGAAAAAGGACAAAAAAACTACAAACAACACCAAAACTAAAACACTACACACTAATATTATTAACACCAACCATATTATTAACCCATGGCAACGCATTTCACCCCATCTAATCACATTAATCCACCCACTAATCCAATTAGACGCTCTAAACGTCTCCAAGCTAAAAGCACGTGTAAATAAATATCCTTATTCTGATGAAGGCTCGAAGCAACGAGTCGAAAGCTCAATAAAAATCATTTGAAAATCCGGAGAAACGTTTATCTTTTATATATTCAATGCCTGGATTACAAATTTTCAAACTTATATATGTATATATATATACACATGATACTGTGTAAACATGTCTATAACAATTTTTACATCTTTTCATTATTGTTCAGGTGTTGTTCGAGTCGAGGAAGAATTTCAACGTCTTGGTAGAAGTGTCAGCCCTCCTGCTCAATTTAAAACAGCCAATTTGAACTGCAATAAGCAGAAAAATCGATACGAAAATGTTTTACCTTTTGATGATTCTCGCGTAAAATTGACGCAAATCCCAGGGATCGAAGGCTCTGATTACATCAATGCTAACTTTATTGATGGTTATATGAAAAAGAAGGCCTTTATTGCAACGCAAGCACCAATACCTGAGACAATGCCCGACTTCTGGAGAATGATTTGGCAAGAAAACTCTCTTACAATTGTTATGCTTTCCAATGAAATGGAAAGTGGAAGAGTAAGTTAGACTAGATTGAATATTTTATCATGCTTCATTTTGAAATGTACTTTCAAAATATAATTGTGGAAATTAATTAGTTATTTATGTTGATTTTATGCCAATGAAACCTTAAAGCACAAGACAATTATTCATTGTTGTTGGAGTCAGCAAATGGCATTATCTCTTGATTTTCTTTCTCTTTAGATAAAAGTTCATAGATACTGGCCAAATAAAGCTCCTACAATAATTGGTGACCTTATGGTTGAACTCATGAACGAGCAAACTTTTGATGAATATATTTTACGAGAATTCAAATTAACAAATACCAAGGTAAATTTGATATTTTATTCGTGATCTGCATTTTTTTGAAACTTGCCGCTTATTGGAATTAAGTTCTGCAAAATGTAGACTTAGTTCTTGTCGTCCGTTTTGAGAAGCATTGTACAAAAAAACCGATGTTAGTGATTGTTGATTCTAGCAACAAATTTTTTTTGTAAAAAAATACAAGAGAACATTTTTGTCTACAACACGATTTTCCTTCAGCTCACTAAACGAGACGCCATTTTTACGTTCTTAAAGTCTATACTAGCGAGTCATAAAATATGAACAAATGGTGAGATTTAAAATATAAACTAATGTTTCAATAGAAAGAAGGTTTTCATGTCATTCGTCAATTCCATTATAATTCATGGCCGGATGTTGGCTCTCCTTCTTGTGCGGGAATGATTGATTTCATTGGTCAAGTACAAAAATGGCAAATGCAGACGGGAAATAAGATTGTCACTGTTCATTGCAGGTATTAATAAAGTAACAATTAAAACAAAATAATAATTATTATTACATTAGGTACAAAGATAATACTGCATGTGTACAATGTTTAGTATATATTCACACTGTGACATACATTCTATTTTTTAGTATCCCTACTCTTGATCTACTTTGTAAAAGAGTATTTTATATTCTTATAGCGCGGGTGTTGGACGTACTGGAGTATTTTGTGCTTTATCAAATCTTATTGAACGTTTGAAAACTGAACACGTTATTGATGTGTTTCAAACCGTAAAAATGTTACGTCAGAAAAGAACTGCTATGGTGCAGACTAAGGTAAAATGAAATAATGTTGCTATGATATACGGCTTGAAGGTACTGTAATTCAAGGACGGTGAAACGTCCAATGGGTAGTGGGGTGGATTCATATATTCGTTGTCACAGAGCTCACAGCGCGTAGTAAACGATTGATTCATCAAAAGAATGTAATTAGGCCATAATTACTTTACTAAAAAACTTACTTAACAACGCTTATGAAAAAATTTTGACAGAAAATGTGTTGTATTCTTACGTTGTCTTCTTAAGCTTTACCATTACTTAAAGGTTTTATGCATTTTTTCTTTAGGATCAGTACGAGTTTTGCTATCGCTTCCTTAATGAATATTTGGATTCCTTTGATCTCTATGCTAACTTCACTTAATGTTTTAGTCACAATGATATTTAAACGCAGGGCACATTATTACACTGTTATTATAACATTTATATGCTGTGTGTTATAAATTTTGTCTTTTTGGTTTTATATACAGATAAAATCATTCTTTTATCTAATTCTTTTTTCTTTCATAAATGAAATTGATCAACTTAGTAATAATAAATAGTTGTTTTTATTAATTGTTTGACATCGTAAACAATCTTGGTTTACTATGCTTTACTATATACAGTTGACCAATGACTTTACAGGGTGTACAACAAACACCTTGCTAATTGATGTATTTTGGTAATTTGAATTTTCAATGTCTATCAAAATGCTAAGCCCGCGGCTGTGACAGCGAAATTTGCATGTAATGAACATAATGAGTTTCACAATTAATTTTTTTTGTCAGTTTCTGTCTTTTGGGACTAGGACGAGTCTCTTTGGCATCCGGTGCTTACATGGGTGTATGTATGTAACCAACCATGTAACACGTGGGCATTGAACATATCTCACCTAACTTTGTATTCTGTATACGGCAGTACCCATACCAATTTATACATATTTTACAATGACAATATTTCATGTCTTGTTGCTATATTTCTCACTTAGTATTTGTTCTTGTTGAACAATGAATTTCTTCGATGTTTTAAAAAAATTGTCACCAATGAGGAATAATATTGCTCGATAATGAGAAAAATCATCGATGAAAAATCAAATTTTTGATAATGAAGTCAAATGTCGAGCGTCGAGAAGAAACTGAATACGAAACTGTAGCTAAGAAAAGGAAAGACTCCGGAACTGACAATCTTCTTTCTAAACATATTTTTCATGAAAATCTAAAATCACACCTTGCCACTGCTTTTAGGTAATATATACTGTATTAATGATTTCACATTAGCGTGATTAAATCATCATGTTGTTATGCCTAGTAGCCAGTAGTTTATCATTATTGCCAGATATCAGATAAACTTTGCTTTGTTTTCTATTAACGTTATTTAGTAGCGAGGATTGTCTAATTTTAATCGCAAAACATAGTATAATAACTTATTTGATTCGCCCATGAAAAGTTAGATGCTTCACATTGACCTAGTTGTCTTATTATCTTTTAAAGACTAAAAATGACATACAAACAATTTTGTTTTCATCAATTCTGTAATAAAATATTAACACACATTCACAGACTACATCAAGAAATATCATGTATACCTTAAGTTATGAATTCAATCATTTGACATGGCAAAATAAGCCAGAAAACCTAAATTCTTTACTCTCTAGTTTTATTTATTTTCTAGAAATAATGAAGACTTTGAAGACGAAGGTAGAGATATTTCACAAATTTAGTGATTGAGAAAATGTGCTTAGAAGTAAAAGATTTTTACTGTATTTTACACAAGTTTATACCAACCAACGAGACCTTTGGGAGAACTCAAGAGCAGATCAGTTCTTAAAAACGTCTCCAATGTTTGCATAAGCCAGTGCAAACACACAAAAGATCTTTTACTTCTTTTATAAAATAATAATGAGCAATAGATAAATTGGAAAGAAATATATTAATTATTTTTCTTCTAACATGTATTAGTGATGGATTGCATATTCTCTTTGATTGATTTAACTCATTGTGTACAGTACAGTTTCCACAGGCTAGTGCATACTCAGTAGACTAATCATCCCTCTTGTTTTATCATTGTTTTAAATAAATAAACACAAAAACAGTCTGTGCTAATTTATATTTACAGAAGCTGGTATCAAATTATCCAAACTTCCTTTCAAACATTGTGTGATACACAATTTAATTGAAGATTATGATTATCTTATTGATTTGAAAGAAGTTTTGACATCATTAGATTTTGTTGAAAAGTCAAATGATCTTTACAAGTTTTCTCAGGTATAATTTTAAAAGCAAGATATAAATGGTTCTCTATTTTTATTGTTGATTTTTGAAAGAATTCCATGTGAAGCTTGTACCTTGGTGCAACATAATTTATTTTGTATTTAGCATTGTGGTTAAACAAGAATTTTAACTTTTTTATAGAGTACTAATGATCTAAAAGCTTCACAAAATAAGATTATTTCCAAGTTAAGGTTTGTTGAAACTAGTTTTTTAGCCTTACTTATTTGTTTTCCTAGCAACAATTTCTTAAGCTCTGGCTTCCAACTGGTGAAACAATGAATTTAATATCTTATGGCTTTTGCATTTAAATACCTCCAGTTGTAAATGTGTTGTAGGAATACATTGTATAATGATCTTCTTCATTGGATAGCAAATATCACAAAAATTGAACTGAATGAACATTCGATTGACATGTCTTGTGCAAAATATACAAACACAGGTATAATACCGTATGTATTGTACATAAAAATAATTGTATATTAAAATATTTTGTTGTCATTACTGTGAATGAACCAGAAAACAGAATAAATTTGAGTCAGGAATCAGTCATCAGGAAAAGATTCAATAATTCCATTATTGTTGTTTTATGATGGTGCACATGGTGTTATTGATTTACATGTTGGTACATATGGTGTTGCTGGTTTCCATGATTGTACATATGGTGTTGTTGATGTACATTTTGGTACATATGGTATTGTTGATTTACATTTTGTTACATATGGTGTTATTGATTTCCATGATGGAACATATGGTGTTGTTGATGTACATTTTGGTACATGTGGTGTTGTTGATTACATGTGGTATTGTTGTTCTTCATGTTGGTACATAAGGTGTTGTTGGTGTACATTTTGGAACATATGGTGTTGTTGATGTACATTTTGGTACATGTGGTGTTGTTGATTACATGTGGTATTGTTGTTTTCATGATGGTACATGTGGTGTTGTTGATGTACATTTTGGAACATATGATGTTGTTCACTTACATGAGACAACAGGAGATTCACTTGTTCTGTCAAAAAGTCTCAGAATTTCTTGTGTACTATTAATTAGATGTTCTACTTTGTCATGATGATCAACTTGAGGAAAGGAAAATTGCGTATATCTTTTATCTTGTTCCATCATGGTCTCATGGTGATGGAGGTATTAAATTGTCTTTTCATGGAGTATTTCTCAAAGATTTTTTATTAAGTATATGTGTATAAAATTCTAAAATTGTGTAAGGTTTCATAAGTTTTTCTTTTTCGAGCTAATTTTTTATTTACTATTGTGTGCATCTACTTTTTCTTTTAGGTTCGCTGGATTTTTTCAACATTGATGGTAAAGTTGAGACTGTAATCATTTTTTTCTATCAACCTATAAGTTCATTTTGCTAATTATAAAGTTGGCAAGTTTGTTTCACAAAATCCACATAGTTGGCAAATGTCAAATGGAAAGTATAATGAGAGAATTAGAAAGGTGGAAATGATTCCTTCAATTGAGAACATAAATGTGCCAGCTAAGCTTCTATTTTATTTCACCTTGTAGATGATGGTCAACCTGATAAAATCGTGAAATCACTGGTTCCTGGGTGGAACAGTTTTGTTTTTTTTGAAGTTACAAAAACTTCATTTCATCAGGTAGAAGTTCTTATTGATTATTTAAATACTAATACTTTTATAAGCTCTTCAAGAAACACATACATACATGTATTGAAACAACAAGCATGTTGTACTTTAAAGCTATTTATTACATTTAGTATTTGTGATTATACGAGGATTTCTACGTGGAAAAGTCACTTAACATGAGTTTAAAACATAAAATATATATTATGGAATTTTCTTTGATGTTTTTCAAAGCGTCTTTTTGTGGCTGCGTTTGTGCATTGATTTATCTATTGTGTAAAGGATATGAAAAACTGCTTTGAAACCTAATTTGTTTACGATATATAGTCAAAGTATACATTGTCAAAGTGGTTTTTAGTGAAAACGATAAAGAATTAATCTTTGATTAATGAATTAAGTCGCGAAAAATGAGAAAACTTGAGAACTTCACTTTCCTTGATGTGAAGCTTGTGGGCACCGTCATGTGACATACAAACTAACCTATCGTGTTCGAAAAATGCATAAAGGATTACACAACTTCTGGATCATATGACTAAACATTGATGATAAACCACATTTTTTTTCAAATTTTAAACTTACTTGACGTAAACAATAACAAACATGTAATTTCATTTGAATTATTCTTAATCTACTTTATTTCGTAGCCTTATATCTGGCAGGATTCAACATGTACGCGTCGTACCTTTTTTTATTCTTCTACAATGTGATCCATATGGATGAATTTTTTACATTTTTATGAAGTAAATCCGTTAAAAAGTAAACTTCCTATTTTCACTTTCTTGTTTTGTTTTCATTTTATTTGATATTTTTAAATTTCAATTCTCATGAACAAAAATGAAGCGCAAGTGCTTTTTTTCATCATATTTTTTGTTGTGTCCTAACTTGATGTTGATTATTTAAAAAATGGCTAGCTCGCTTATTGCGCTATTCAAGAAGGAATTTTTTTCGCCAGGACCTAAAAGAAGAGCTTTGTCGTCATTTGCTTCAATTTTCGGTCTATGGTCGTTGGAGAAGTTATTTGAAAGTACAAATTACTACAATTGTCCAGAAGAAGGTTATGTACTCTATGGTGGACTGTTTCTCTTTGGTCCAGTCTTGTGTTTGGTGATACTATCGCTTATTTTGAGCAATACGTTTTGGGATTCCTTATCGAACTGCTTTCGGGGAAATCTTCCTTGTATTGATTTTGGCCGAGCTGTTTTTCACATCTTGGTACAATCCTTCGTGATTGTTTTTGCGTGGCTTTTACTTGCATTTTCTACCACAGATTATTTGGTTTGTTTTTGCGTCGGTGGAAAGCCAGATGCCAATGAAGCTACAAAAATAAAACGACTATCAACAATCCTCGCATGGTTATTGTTAATCAGTGCATTGCTGTTGGTATTTCTTTATAAAATTATTTTCAAATGCTGTTGTTCAAGGCATGAACAAAGCAAGGCAACAACATTTCCTGATTATGAAAAAATCGAAGCAGAAGCCGCATTGAAAACTTTCAAGAAAGAAGCTAAATTACTCGTTGAACAAGAAGGTGAACGAAAGATGAACGCTATTCTACACGCTAATGATAATAAATCAGCTTTGCAAGTTGTCGACGAGGCAAAGAACTGGTTACAACATAATTACTCAAGACTGGAAAGAATTCAAAGTCGCAATAATCATGGTTTTGTTACTGATACTACATTATGAAACAAGGATAGGACGTTTCCATTGACTGATTTGTTTTGTATATGTATATATGTATATGTTGTTATGACTGAATTGATCCATCCAATAGTCTTTAGATGTTCTCGGATAAATTGCTCACTTTATTAATATTGTTACTAACACATTTAGTACATATTATATTAAAATATTTTGCTACTGTCCTTTTTTTAATAAGATTTTCTTAGACTGTTTATTCCGCGTATTCTTGATATTGAAAATGAAATTTTGTCTTCAGCGTGGGTTTTGACGTCAGCCTACCAAAAGTCAAACTAACAACACGCGATTACAATTCTGTAGTAATATAATTTGTTTTATATTTACGAAGGGATAAATTTGCTTTGTTGTCGTAAATTTTGCGTTAGAGCAAATTATATGTAGCTTGAATTCTCTCTCGAACAATACAGACAAATTTATCTACCTTATAGTAATACTTACTCTCCCTTTAATGGGCTTTTAGGTGTCTGAAATTTTGTCAAATAAAACACGTTTGTCCATAAGTGGTTGGTTTCATGGCTCCAACATGGAAAGTTCTGTTTGTCGTCTCAGGAACGGTTTACCAAGAAAACAAAGCCCAATTCAATTAAAGGTACATTTATTTACAGAATATTTCAATATTTGTTGTGTGAGTTCAGTGATGGCTTCGAATAACGCGAGTTAAAAATTTTGTGAGGTTAAAATTTAATAGTTATCATTGCTAACGCTGTATTTCAGTAAATATTGAAGCATTTGATTTTCCGACAGAAAAACCTGATCGAGTGTGTATGGAGCGCCGATTGTGCTTTTATTATTTAATTGACTGACAAGGATATTAGGCATTTTTTATTTTATTACATTATATAACCAAAATCTTGTCAGCCAATCTAACGTAATTATATCAAAGAACAAAATTTTGTCCACATTATTTCGTTGGATGATATGAAATAATAAACTTGACATTAGTTAATTATATCAAATAACCAGTTTTATCGACATGATTTAATTTGGTTATTCAAATAACCAAAAAATTTTTTACACACTTGGCGAGCCGAATGACGTCACAACGAGTAAATTGCGAGCCAACTGACGTCACGACGCGTAAATTGTCAATTGGTCTTCAAAAGTGGCAATATTTATCGCTAAAATAATAGTAAATGTTTCTGTCGTTATTGTATAAGTTATGGACTAAAATGATATTGTTGTTTTTCATTGTGGACAATTGTTGAACATTTCAGGACGAGATTTTGATATCTTGGGTCAACCCGATGTACTTACAGACTGATGTTGTAAAGGATATTCGCCAAGGTTTTGAAGAAAACTCTGAGATTGAGTTGAAAGATTTTCTTTTGGTAAGAATACAATGTCTTGGAAAATAACGAAACAATCTTGTATTGTAGTCATTGCTTGTGCACTCGATTACTCAGTTATCTACTTTGAAATTTCTACATGATCATATAAAAACTTCTTCATGATGATAGTCAGTAAACCTTTACTTATTTTTATATCTGTATCGTATTTGGTATTTGTTTGGTGCAAAGTTGTACAATGACTTGTATGATTATTGATAAATATAATAGTCATCTGTTTCATTTAAAAACATTTTACATGCTTCATTTTGTAAAATAAAGGTGATTTCATATATTATCATCATTAGTTTTACAAGTCACATTTTCACATGTTGCTGGAAAGTTCGTGGTGTTATGTCATCTTTCAACTTCAGAAATAGGTATCCCCATTTTTTCATTTTATTGTTAAATTGTCGCTTTAGAAAGAAATACGAAAGATTGGTGAAAGAGTTTAAGGATATAGGAAGAAAATGGGAGTGGATTGGACCCGCTAATAAAAGGTTTTCATTTTTTCATACATTTGCGTGTATGGATTTTAAATTCATCAGCAGATTGTGGTACCACTTTCCTTTTTATTTCACAATGAAGATTTGACCACCAAAAGTAATGTTTAAGAGTGCAGCGAATATTTTGAGAAGGATACATGTCAGACTACGTTAATTTATGAACTATAACAATTGTTTGAAGGGACTGCGCATGCTTTAGATGATTTCTCTTATAATTTGTAACCAAATGAGCTATTCTTTCCAAAATCAGTGCTAGTAGATCCAGTTTGTCGTTGCCATGAATATGTTGAAAAGTAGATTGCGCATGCTCAGATGATCGTTGAAAACTTTCTGAGCAAGTGAGTAAGTTACTCCCAGAACAGTAAAAAATGAATGGTTTACTCAAATTACGAGTTAAGAGGCAGTGTTTTTTTAACTTTTGCACTCACTTTGAATCTCTACTTGTTATCTTGACCAGTAGCAAATGCAGGGTTTGGAAAAATACATTTAAGTTTTTTTCTGAAGAATTTTTATCTTCTTGACAAATAGACGTTGCGAGAAAGCGCCATGCGATAGTCTTAGTGGAACAATTCGAGAGTGTTATGAGTTATTTAAATCATTACCGATGTTTAAACTTCTGACAACTTTAACTGGACTCAAGCTTTCTAATGTTGATACCAATGAAACACGCAATGGCGAAGATGACGACGATGATGATGGAGAAAGAAAGGTAACAAATACCGAACTGCTGAGTTTGTTTAGTTTCTCATATGAAACAATCAATATTTTGGTTTTAATATCGGATTTGTCGTTATTTGTAAGGGAAGGATTCTCAATTTTTCTCTACCATTTTAAATGTCGTATTATTTCAGGTCAACTGTATCATTTATATTTATGTTGTTGATTACTTATAAATGATTACCAAAACAACTCTGTTATTCATCTTTAAAACTACACTTATTCAACAACTCTCATTTCTTAAGACTTGTGAACAATTTTCAAGTGAACCATGTTGTCATGGTGATGTATATCGATGGTCACATGGTTGTTATACACTCATCCACGACAGTGATCCCGAGATGTTAGAAATGGCTTTAGATGCTATGTTATTTTTCAATTGTGATGGTGAGCTTGTTTCCTCATCATTTTCTCTCTATTTTAATACAACCTAGAAATTTGTTAAGATTTTAAATACTTTTCAAGTATTTGAATGATGAAAATAAGATTATGATTTGTTGAATGTGTTTCTGTAACAAGGTAGAATTTTTTCCTTTAGACTGGAAAGAGGAGTTTGGAGGATATACAACTTATCTTGACAAAGATGAAAACGAGGAGGTGATTACAAATTTATTTTATATCTGAAGATGAAATATATCTTGAAAATCTTATCATCTCATCAAAATTAGTTTAATGTATTTTGGTTTTATAAGTTTTTATTTTTGTATTTATTTATTTTTCAACATGACCGTGTGAACAGGAAATTTATCATGTATATAATGGATCTTATTGTTTATTGAAAAGTTTGTGTATATCGAGTTTATCAATTTACATCATGCATGACCCATCAAGAAGTTGATTCTTATGTTTGTTTTTAATTCTTTGTAGTTACTCACCATACAGCCTTGCTCAAACTCGTTGGATTTGGTTTATCGCGACACGGGTACAACTAAATTTGTTAAATATATCAATAATCGTTGTAAAATCTATTCTTGCGATGATAATCTTCAAAATAATTATTGCAACGTAATGTTTACGTATTTTGAATGAAATAAAGTATCAAACCGAATTTTTTTAATTAAACGTGAGTCGTTTACACCTATGTCAAAACTCTGAACTCTGTGTCTTTTTCACACTTCGCATTTCCCTTTATAACAATGTTAAAAACATGTGTGTAAAACTTATATGCAAAACTATTAGAAATATTAAAGAAAATGCTTCTTCACTTGAACATTTTAGTTTTTTAAATTGATCAGGTTGAAGTTATAAAATAAAGTTATTAAAATATTTCAGTGTTAAAGTTTTTTGAAGTTGCTAAGACAATATACACATTATACGAAAACATCATTTTTCTAGAAACATTCCTTTTAATGTAATCATGGTAATCTATTTTCCAACGCTTTTGCCACTTTGACGTTTTTCAACGAAATACAAACTTTTCTATAATGTAGCGAGAGACTTGCCGAGCGGAAATCGAATTCGTGTGATAAAAATTAATGCCCAACATAAAGTTCTGATTAGAGCCATAGAAATAGACCAAAAAAAAAAAAATTCGTTACAATTCGTTTTTTTTTGGTCTATTTCTATGGCTCTAATCAGAACTTTATGTTGGGCATTAATTTTTATCACACGAACTTTTCAATAATAAGCTAGTTTGTGAAAAGAACGATGAAGTATTCTCTATAAATAAGAGAAAAGTATGCATCATTGCAGAGTAAACCTAAGATTGTTACTTTCATTTAGGATTCTTATTTATTTTCGCTCGCAAGCGTAATTCCTTGTTGTAAATAAAGACTTTTGTGTTCTGCGCTTAACAATTTCCGATATTTTAGTTTCCTCTACTGTGACACGTACCACTTTGTAGTACTCTGCTCTGTTCGATTAAAATTCTTACTGTAATACGAAAGCAATGGCGAGCTCACTGGTTTCATTTGTCAAGAATTTGTTTCCTGGAGGACCTAGAACGGCAGCATTTAAGACTCTAGCCTCAATTGTTGGGTTCTGGTCTCTGGAAAAGTTACTTGAGAGTAAACAAAGTTACTACTGTCCAACGGAAGGTTATACTCTGTATGGTGGACTGTTTCTCTTTGCTCCAGTCTTGTGTATGATTATATTATGTCTTATATTTAATAAAACGTTTTGGGATTCCTTTGCTGATTGGTTTCGTGGAAATCTCAGAGCTATAGATTTATGTAGAAATTGCTGTCATGTTTTGCTCAACTCGCTCGTGATTGTTTTTGCGTGGCTTATAATAGCTTTTGCATCCACAGATTATTTGGTTTGTTTTTGTGTCGGTGGAAAGCCAGATCCTGAAGTAGCTGCTAAAATAAAACGATTCTCAACAATCCTCGCCTGGTTGTTATTAATCTGTGCATTGTTGTTGGCATTTTTTTATAAAATTATTGTGAATTGCTGCTGTTCAAGGGTGACGTTATTTCCGGACTACAAAAGAATCGAAGCATTAGCTGTATTGAAAACATTGAGGAAAGAAGCTAAACGAAAGGTCGAAGAAGAAGGTGAACAAAAAGCGAAAAACATTTTGGAAACTAATGATAATAAATCAGCCTTGGTAGTCGTCGATGAGGCAGAGAAGTGGTACAAGAATAAATATTTACGTGTAAATAACAACTTTTGTTCTTATGAAGACGTCAAGGAAACGGACGAGGAAGATAATACACCCAAGCAAATTTTAATTTTTTAATTTCTAAATAAGAATAGAAATTATAAAATGAATGTTTACATGTTCAGAATGCTGAACCAAGCAATAACTTTGTACTGTTTGTTTGTGAAAAACGTTAATTGCAATTTTAAAGTCTTTGTATTTCACTGTTGAAAAGATATTTTTATTACATGTGTAAGATTATCTGGAATAAAGATCTCGATGCCTGTAGTACAAGTGATGTATTTATTCTTTTCAATCGATGAAAGGCAAAGTTGAACCGCTTTATTGCATCTTATTGTGACATCAGTCCATTTTTAGTTCAAATTAAATTTAAAAGTTTAAAGGCAATTATGCAAATTTTTATATTTTACATGATTTCAACGACTCAAGGAAAAAAGTAGATCAACATCTTGGAGAAAAGTTTTGAGAACGGTACAGCTTTTGAAAGTGTAAATTTTTGAAACGGTCTTTTTAAAATGAGTTGACCATTGTTTGAAAGAACGAATTTCGCAAAAATGGTATTGTTCTGAAAATAAATTGAGAACACTTTATCTCCAGTGTTTATTTCATCCAATCAAAATAATTCGACAAAAATTCCTCGAAGAATCATTGTAGTGAAATCAAGTCTCCTTTAACTGTTGCCTTTCTTGGATCGCTTCTGTACTGACGTTAATTGAAATAAGGAAGATTGACATAATATATTGCCACATACAAGATTGCATTGTCGCGTATTTTGTTTTGATATTTGCAACTAATAAGCAAGATAATCCGAATGTACAACCATACCCTGTGGCCTGATAGGCGTCTTGTTGCACGCAAAGAGCTGCTATTTCACAGGAGCGTAGCCAGCCCGTACATTAAGTCTCGCTATGTAAATTTATCAGTGTTTAATCACTGTAAAAACACTAGATTTCTAAAGAAAGGAATAGAGTGATAAAGTTGTAATATTTACAGAGAAGGAGAAAAGCCAGCGGTATGGCTACGCTACTGGTATTTTCTCGAGTCATATGGAACATGTTGCCAACATTCATAAAGTATCCTTTGTTTGGGATCACCAACATGGTTGTAGCTACAAGATTAGACATATTGCTCTGTGAGCGCCTTTTACACAATCTTTACCATGAATTAAAACTATTGCCGTAAAAGCATTGAAGAGTTAACTCAGCATAAGCAGAAGCAATGACAATTAATCTTTAGACAATCAAGAAAGCATGAAACATAAAAGACTTCATTAGCCAAAAGAAGAACAAATTAAAGATTTAAAAAATTCCATCTCTTTGTCTTTGTAAATTGTAAAACCTCTAGAGAAAATAAAAAAATGCCTTGTCGTTCATGTATGTTTTTTCCGTATAAACCAAACATATTCAAGACTTAGATAACCTTTCTATGGTGACTTTCAAACAGCTTTCTTACAAATAAAATAAACATTTCTTTATCTAAACTTAATTATCCATTTCTGCAGTTTTATTGCTGATGCATTGAGCATTTATTTGGAACTTAAGTTTTCCATGTAAAATATGAGCCAACTGAAATTCAATTATAACTTATTCTTGTCTTGCAATTCAGGCATGTTGGTGGTCTGATACAAAAGAATACTTAATTTTCTCTGTGTTATTATTTGCACCAGCCGATGTGGACGTGCAACATTGTTTGTTAAATCTCAAGAGAATGGTTGCAAGTCAAGAATATAATACTACAAATGACGTCACACCTAGAAACTCACCAATAAGAACATAACACATACTGATCAATTCAAACTGACATCGGGTCATTTGAATCTGTACATGACCTTTATAGGTATTGGCACTTTCCTAATCAGTACATACACGATGAACCATTTCCCTGTGAAATATTTCCTTATTAAATATACCAGTTTAGGTGAATGTGTCTTTGATGTTCAATTCAACAGAGTACTTTGAATACGTTTCTTTGATCAAAGTGAGAAAAGTGAGCGACATTGTAATCTTTATTCGTGCAAAATGTGAGTCCTATAAATACTCTTTTCCGTTAAAGTTTTAGATTTGGTCTTAATTTTTGTTCTATGCTTGGTTTTAGTGTGGAAAGTTTTACTTCAAAACGAAAATGCATCAAATGCTGTTGGTTTATATTCATGATGGTGTTCTCGTACAACTAAAGAATGTCGTTATTCACTGTGGACACGGATTTAGATTTTGTTGATGACTCCCTCGAGGTTGAGGCAGCATGTAGTAACGAACAATTTGTACGATACGGCTGTAAATTCCTTAACTTTGGTGAAAATTTTATTTTCTTGAACTGCTTTGAAAATAAAGAAAATGTTCAAAGTGAGTGTATACTTTGTCGCGTTCATCATTTTTGTCAGTAATTTTTGCAAAAAGAACATATTTTATGTAATGTTTGATTCTTATTTTTAGAAATCCTCTGAACAATGATCATGAATGGACAATACATTTGAATAAAGTTAAAAACGCTCGACGTCTTTTCACCATATCTTCTACATAACAAATTACGAATGATAATAGCAAATATACTAGTTTTGAGCAATGTTTCTGTCAGCTTATCACCTGTGTCCCCTCTGTTGTATTGGACTTTGTTTGCTCTAAAACGCTATTCCTGGACATGTTTCCTGCTAAGATTACGATTCCTGGCTGGTTAATCAATTATAAAGACAAGTCAATCATAAACAACAGTTGTCTTGGTGTAAGTGAGTAAAACTACGCTTTTATCCAACGCTCATATTTCGACATTTATTGAATTGAAAATTTTTCCGAGATAAAAACATGGAATTTCTTTAGCTTAAAAATATAAAATCTAAAAATCCTAATTTTCCGACTAACTGTCAATATTTCCGATTTTATGCCGTACGCGACATGCGCAGTTGTAAGAAATGGCGAATCTTGCTTCTGTGCTTGCCGTCGTCGACATAAAACCGAAAATGTTAGTCAGGTAGCCTGAGAATTGGATACGATGGTTGTACCATCAACGTTTCGAGTATTTTGAAAAATTATTTTGGGCTTGTAAGTAGTTTAACGTGCTGAACATCCGATCACATCACAACAGTTGAACAAGGATTCGTCATTTATCGTGGTCTTTCGTCATTTATCGTGGTCTCTCGTCATTTATCGTGGTCTCTCGTCATTTGGCAAGGGTTCGTCGAAAACCGTGAGTGTAAAGTTACGCTTTTAGTGAATGCTGAGAGCACAGCGCAAGTGAGCCAAAAATAAATGATTAATACACCAGGTCCAAGGATGCGGAATGTCTTCATAAAAACCTTTAAGGAAACATAGTTTCATTGAAAGTACATTGTTTTGTTTTCATTAATGGTTACTATGAAGACAAACCGCGGACGTTGTCGCATATTTGACTAAATAGTTACATGAAGGTTTCCATGTTCACCAGTCGCGTTGCTATCAAAATCAAATATGTGATGATCGTCAAATTGAAACATATCTTAAAGCAAGTGCTATACCGGTTGTTTGGTTATAATCCGAACTTCCAAGATAACCAAACGAGTAGTTACACTGAAAACTTGAAAACGGTTTTTTGTGTTAACAAAATGCTCAAAAAGTAAAGCGTTTTTAATAAGTGAATTTCGTCTGACTCTATGCAATATTTTGATGTACTTTCATCTAATCCATATCATGCAGCAGCGCTTGCCTCAATTGAGTGCGTAATGTGGCACCGGGCGCGCAAAGCACTGAATGAAACTGTGCAAAGTAGGGATGCTTTAGTTGGCGTTAGGTGCGATTGATTTAGATGTGGATTAGATGAAGAAAGCACATGTTGTAAAGAAATTCCCACCAGTTACTCAATTTTCTCGTTCAAAGTAGAAAATTATCTGATAGAAATCATCGTGCACAATGTACGTGTTATATACAACTGAAATGTGGCGGCTTTAGTTTGTTATCTCTATGAAACATGGCGAATAACTTCCAATACTAACATACCTTCAAAAAGATCAGCAAATTGTTAAGTTTGAAGGTGTATTTGCAAAATTTTTATTTTTTCCCCATTTTTTGGCTTTTCAATCATGGCAAAAATAAGTAAAGTTTGTTGCTTTTGTGGGTCCCTTGGGAGGGACACTTCGGCTAAAATCTCTAGTGTTTTTTTTTCATGTTCGGTATTCTCCAAAATGTCGCGTCGTAGTGTTCGGTCTTGGTTTATACCGTTCAAGTTTTTCCATTAGGGGTTTTTTTATTTGGGTTAAAAAACAGCATCCTTTGTGCGGAACTGAACGAATACTTCATGTTATATTAAAGAATTGGAATTAGATATCTAATTAGAATTTAAGTAGTGAGTGAATATGCCAAGTATTACAAACATTTAAAGTTAAGTTTCACCTCATAGCGTAGTTAGAAGCAACATCAAGTTTTTGCAATGCGGCCATTTAGAATATTTTCGACGATTTTAAACACTCATGCAATATATATTTGATAATTTGAAGATTTTTGTTGCTCAAAGTTTAACATTTTTCGCTATTTTTAACTTTGGAGAGACCCAAGCAAAAATATGGTTATTTGTGATTATTTATTGCTATTTGTGATTTAAAATAAAGAATTCCTCAAACAAGCCATAGAAGTAGCATTAATTTATATTGAGGGAACTTTTTCGCTTAAAGTAAATGATTTTCAAGGATCTCAATTTTGAATTTTATGAAGAAAAAGATTGTATTGGATTTTTTCTCCATAGAAGATGCCTCACAGTATGTTATTTGACAAAACAGATATTCTGCAGAAATCAACCTGTGTTAAATACAGTGTTTTCTAACGAGTTTTCTCACAGAACTGGGTTGTTTCTATTTCCGGGAAGCAAATTGCCAACTTTGAACTACAAACATATTTTGAAGATATACGTCTGGAATCATTAAGTTTATTGCAAATGTCTTGAAAATCTTCTAAATAGCCAAACTTACACATGGCAGTACAATTTAATCTTTGGGCTTTTGGTCTTTTTAGTCAATTTAGTCTATACATTGATAATTTTTCATTTTACCCTGAAAAACATTGAATGAGTTCTCACCGATGCAGTAAATGCTTTCGGATTCGCCTTTTGAAAATTGAGGGTTTCAGTTGCACAAAATAAACTTTTCCCTCGTTGTTAGGATATAGGGATAGTTATTTACTATACATAACTCAATGTTACAGCTAATTTCACTATCAATTATGTACATAGTGTAGTTGAATGGTTCAAAGTCCGTCTCAACAAGTTTTAAAACGCAATACAAAAAAACAATTGTTTATCAACGTAAACCACAACAACATAAGGCTAAAAACGATGTTGCGTTGCGAGGATTTTTTTTGAGAGATAAAAACTTCGCAGATATTTTAGTAACTAATAGTAAGAAATACCAAAAAGTTTTCCATACAGAATAACGTTATTTTACTACCTAATATTTATACAAGATTTGAGTGAAATATTTATTAAGTTAAGATACGCATTTATAAATGAGGTTTGAGCTTTTCTTCCTTCTTAAAATCAGAATTTGTTGCTTCGCAAAAGGCGAAAATTGCGTTTTGTTAACTTTAATCTTATTATTTCCCAGCACCTCCTAAACATGGCGGTGATTTTGCTACTTTACCGTCACTTTTCTCCCATTGTGTTGGTGTTTTTGCCTAAAACACAAAGTGAATAACACAAGCGTGGGTATAAATAATGAACCAAATTATTTTATCATTCATAAAGTACAATTACCTGTATGGACAAGGCATGAACTGAAGTGGATAATTCGGTTGCAAGAATTTCGTTGACCAATCTATGCCTCTAGTAATAATGTAAGACATTTTTGTTTATTTAGTCAAAACCTTGATTGAAGACAAGATTTTTATTAAATAAAAAAATAACCTTAATCAAAGGAAGATTTTCAAATTTCTTTGATACAACAACCACTTTAAAATGAGTCTCGGATCCTAATGCATACAAAAATAACATAGAACTAAAAACTCTGAAAATGAACAACTTTTAAGGTAAAATATCTTGCAATTGCCAACCCTTTTGCTACCAGCCAATAATTCACACAACTCTAAATGATCAACGACAGGCAGATGTTTCTGAACAGTCACATATTTTCCTCAAGTTTTGCACAAACACACATGGTGAACAAAAATTACTAATATGTACTACGTCATATATACACATATTTTAGTACAGATTTATAACAGTGGTCTGCAGTGGTAAAAAAGTTAATAAAATAACCAACTTTACCTTTTGGTACATTATGCATGTAACTTTCATTGATGACATCAAGGTAATTAGGCTATAAAATAATACAACTCCATAAGTTTTGTAAGAAATTGAGAAATTACCCTTTGTGTAATAGCTAAATTAAATTTAAAGTATTTCAACAATTCAAATTGTCTGAAAAATAAAGTACCCATAGTTGATTGTACATATGTACATAAAAGAAACTCAATAATATGAAATAGAGTAGTGAATGTACAACTACAGACGACTTTACTTGTGACAAGATCCTTGAAAATCTTGCTCTTACCACATCTTTCTTTATAAACTACTTATTTTTATCCGATATTTTTGTTGTGTTTAATATTTATGTTTCTTCTTGATGTCTTTGATATGACATGTGACAATGTTGTAAAAAGCTTGAGCTCTTAGAAATTGCAAGTTTACTATACAATTTTTAAACAGAATGCATGATTATCCATACTAAACAGAATAAATTTGTGCAAAAGGAAATGTTAAGACTCAACCATATAATATTTAGAGCAATGAACATGATGAACACAAAGCCAAATCGAAGTTATGTAGAAAACTAGCTTGTGGAGTAAAGAGTCACAAGTCAAATGTTAATATAAATTGATCAATGCTGATGAAAATTGTCTTACATTTAATTGGCTATTTAATTTCTGACATATCGTATCTTGAATTGGTCCGCTCATCTATGGACAAAAAATGTTTAAAATAAAGAATCCAATCTTTTATTTTATTTGTTTAAGTAAATCATACATGACACAAACTAGCTATCAATAAACAAACCTTAGCTAGAGAGGAAAAGAAAAACTGACTTGAAATTCTTTTACGAATAAACGCTTTTTGAAATACCTCTAAGAATGTTTCTGAATGGTGGAATACAAAACAAAAAAAGGTTAAAAACTAAATTAAAAAGGTGTAAAATTATACTCATACTTTTCTTCAACAATATCATGTTTTATTTTTAAAGTTTACCAAACTGAACAGTTTAACAGTTGTCAACTTTAAATGTGAATCTATGACTATCATATTCATTGAGATGAGGAAATTCAATCTACATAATTTTATTATGATATTAATGTAAATAAAGCAAGTACATTTAGTAACATTAGTTCATGCGTCGAAAACGGCACGAATCTGCCGATTTGCACAAAACTTACGCAATTTCATCCGTATTGAGTTGGTACCAGTTATGCAGTTATGTTATCCAAAAGTTTGAAATTGTTCTTCTTGCACAATGAGCACTATAACAACATTATTCAAACACTGTTGTATTAGAGTTCATTGTTCTTGCATTTCTTCTTTGAGTAGTTCTTTTGTTGAGCCCGCAATACTTTTATACTCAGTTCTTCGGGTTGAGGAAAATGTGCTGGTGTTTCTATAGCGACGTTTGTAGAAAGAAGAAGAGAAATTTTTACGATTCGTACAAAAATGAACACACAAGGAGATGATGAAGAAGATAGTGGCCCTTCCGTCGATTCAGTTGTTGCTGAAGAAAGAATAGCGGCTAGGAGGCTCCGTATTCAACGCAGAATCGAGGCTGCAAAACGGTTTGTCAACTCTGTTTCTAGAACGTTTTTATATCTGAACTGATGAATCGTTGATGTGTACATTGTAATACTAGATTTTTACTCTTTGACAAAGTGTAATGTCAATTGAACCAGTCAGTACGATGATATTATATGTTAGGTGAAAGTTTGAATGAAATAAAAATATTTGCGTTTGTTAAAATTATAGCATTTAGTTATTAATTTTTTGTCTTGATTAATAAATAAATTAATCTTGCCATCGCCCCTCACTCTTCAAAAAGACCTAATTACAGAAAATTTTCTTTCGAGCTGTAAATTCTGTCATAAATTTATAACCATTCTTCATCTCGAATTAGTGTTACAAGTGGTAAAGAGACCAAATCTAAAAAACCTGTTGATTCAAACAAGAACTCTAGTAAAAGCAAAAAACAAATAGAGGAAAGTTGTCAGGTAGATCTGTTTATTATAGGTAATGGTATTGTTTTGAGTGCAGTTATGGTTATTGAATATAAGGCAGAAGTGGTTTTTTAAATACTGCAGCAAAATAGCACTATATGCAATCTTTAAAAACTCACAAGTGAATGTTCAGTTGTAAGAGCACAAGAAACTAACTATTACTTAGTAATTTATATATAGATATGTTTCTTGACTGTACCATCTAACTCTGTGTTGCTTCATTAGTATCTATTGTTTAAGAAAAGCCTCATTATGCAGCCTAACTATAAAAACATTTTCCAAAAAAACAGCACATGCTGTTTTGTTTATATTCTTTGCATTCTTTTGTAGTTCTTGAATTTCAAACAATTTCAATTGTGGAAATCTTAGTTTACTTACAAACACAAACTTACCACTGCCGCTTTTTTTTCTTGAATTAAAAAGAAGTTTGTTTTGCTTTCACTGTTTTTCAGCCAATCAGGTTGCAGTGTTTGCGATGCAATTACACATAAACTGCTCTGCAATCAACCAATCAGAGCTGAGAAATATCTCACAATGATAGAAATATCACACTACATTATTAAATATAGGCCAAAAAGCTAAATTTGCCAATAATTCTTAAAAATGTCTTTATTTTTTATGTTATCAATAGCGTCTGTTAAAGTTAAAAAGTGATGGTACCGAGCTTGTTACAAATGTTAAAGTTGCTTGTGATGCTCGAGAGAATACACATCGACTTGAAGAGGAAGAAAATAAGAGACAAAAGTAAATAATCATTCACACACATCTTTCAAATATTTGTTGGAAACAGAGTTTGAGATTTGCCCAATAAAATAAAATACTTTTTCTTGCAAAAAGCATGTATTTTATATGATAAGCTCAATATTAGTTAGGATTTAGCAGTACTAAATTAGAGATTTTTAAAATCTAACAACTAGGATGAATATAAATGAATGAATGAATGAATGAAAATCTTTATTTTGACACGCTGGCCTTGTCAACTGGGGTTGATTTCCACAAGGGGTGTGCTTTTGTTCAAAAACAATTACAAAATTTACTAAGAAATAAATTATCTACAGAAGAGAAGTTTAAATATTTACAGAATTTAGTATATTCCATCAGTTACATGTTAAACTAAATCATAAATGTGAGTCTTTTGAATGTAGGATTGAAAGACTTGAGGCTGAATCAAAGGCAGCTGTAGAGAAATTTGATCTGGTAAGATGGTGAATATTGTTATGAAAGATTTTTTTTTTAAGTCTGATGTCAAAAATGCAGAAGATTTCTATACAATCTTTTTTTATCAGATAACAAATAAATGGTCACAATCATTATCCATGCAGATCCCTCAAGATTTGAAAGAAGTAAGAATTTTTTCATGAACAGGACTTTTTCTAACTCAATAATAAAATTTTCTTGTGTATTTAGATGCTGTTGGGGCAGAAAAATGCCTGTGATGTTATGATTGACGAAAAAAACAAATTGATAAATGATTTTCAACAGGTAGTTATATACAGAGAATATGCAATTTTATATAAATATATATCTAAACAAAACAAAAAATGATCATTCGTTACAAGGGAAGAGTTACGGTTTTTTGACCCCGAAATTCGTCGTTGAATTATAGAGCGACGAGCAGCGACATTTAATTTAAAGATAATTTTTTTTCGTATTCAATAAATTTACAGTATATGTTTGTTGCCTCATAGGAGTTGAAAGGTTTAGATGATCATTATGTAAAAGATCTAAAGAAACAAGCAGAAGATGTTGAATTGATGATTGAAAGAATGGAAGAACAGATAAAGCATTTAAAAAAAGCTTATCGTGAAGAGTTACTTGAGATTGAGGTAGACTACAGTACAAAAATACACCTAACGTTTGTACATTAGGTTGACGTGCATCACTTGGTACTTTATCGTTTGCACAAACGGTTATTGTGGTGTATTTAAGATTGTGGTAATTGATTTTATTATTCAGAAATCATTTGTGTCTGAGCGTTCTGAGTTGATTGAGAGCAACAAAAAGAAATGGAAAACATTGATGCAGCAAAGACAAGATAAAGAGGTGTATTTAAGAATGTTTTGACAAGTAAAACCATTTATTTTCTTTGTAAGTTTTTGCTGTTACTCTTTCAGGTCGATTTTCTTGAAACTCGTCGCAAACGTGTTGAGGAGTATGAGGAACAGTTGGATACATTGAGGGTTAAGGATGCAGAAGAGTATAATATGGTGAAAATTAAACTAGAAACTGATGTCCAGGTACGCATCTACTAATGTCGCTTTGTCACAAATGCCACAAAATTAATGTGCTTAAGTATGTTTGAGATACAGGTACACTGCTACTAAATTAAGGAATTGATTTAGCATTTAGCAAGTATGAATTCTTGAGTTATGTAAAATTGAAAAAGTTTGTAAAGTTATCTATTGGTATCGTTACTATTGAAGAAGATTTTAATTAAAATGGTATTATTGTTTTCATTCATCTTGATAATTATCAACGATGATAAATGGTGATTATTTTCTTGATAGCGCGATGTTTACAAACTATAAGAACATTATCTATATAAGTGGGAGTGAATGTCATAACTGTTCGTTTATTAGATCCTAGAACAACAGCTGCAACAAATGAGAGCAACTTATCAATTGAATCAAGAAAAATTAGAATATAATTTTCAAGTTTTAAAGAAAAGAGATGAGGAGAATACAATTACGAAATCCCAACAAAAACGTAAGATAACAAGGTACATATAAAGAAATGGATGTTGGTGATTAAATCAGAGTATTTATTTACATTTATGTATGGTTGTGAAACAAATTTGCTTAAATGTAATTACAGGCTTCAAGATTCTCTTAATAATCTTAAGTCAAAATTGGCAAAACAGGAAAAAACATACAGGTTTATATTTTTTACCCTGAAAAAATACTTGCTGTATTTTTATTTTTTGACAATAAGTATTTTTATAAGTAATGATTGTACTTTCGTTTAGGGAAGAGAACCAATCGCTGACAGATGATTATGAAAGGATAACTGATCAACACAAGGAATTGCAAAAGAAATTTCGGTTAGAATTAATGTGGAAAAAATACGTTAAAACAATTACTCATATACTTATAAAGTGAACTATATTTATCTACGTATATGCAATGTAGACATTTTCAAGCGTCGGACTCTAAGAAATTTCAAGAGATGTGGTTAATGAATGAGCAACAAGCAAAAGATTTAATTGAAAGTGTTCTTGAAGTAGATCGTATTATTCACGAACAACAACTTGGCTTACCTTGGCAACGACCGCAGCTGTGAGTTATGATGTAATGTTTTTTGTACAATTCTTATCAATTTTTCACAATCCAGGTGAAATGGTCTGTTTTTGTCCTTATCATACTCGTTAGCATCTTCCTTTTCAAAGTACATAGCTTAAATAACATGGCTCACCACAATCTTAACACATCTTTCACAGTTCCTGATTTATTGAATCTTTTTAAACCATAATTTTCTTGAAAGTAAAAGCCTTCTTATCATTAAAATGTTGAATCCTTTTATTCAGTGATTTTCTGGAAAGTAAAGGTCCTCTTATTATCAAAAATAAAGAAAAGAAACTGTCAGCTACACAAGTTGCTGAGGAACTTTTAAAGACAGGTAAAGATATTTTATTATGATACGTTTTGTTTTCTATTTACATGTACAAATTTACGCTCTTGTCTGTGAAAGATTTGAATGTTTTCAATGCTACAAATGGTAATATACACATTTACCTCATAAGTATAGTTGAATTTAGCACATGTGCAACTTAGCCCCGTTCCCAGGACTTTTCCTTCTACGTTTTCTCGTGAAAAAAAGAGTGTTTCCAGGAAAAGGCCTGGGATTGAGGTAAATGTGCCAACGCAAAGGAGATACTAGCAGAATTCTAAACGGTATTTTAAAAATGGAATTTTGATTTATGATAGAGAATTCAAACGAAAGTCAAGTTCAAGATGTTTCAAGTGCTTATACCAAAAGTTTTACAGACAAATCAGTTGTTTCTATGAAGACCGTGAAGACAATTTTAGAACTTTTGTCAGACGAAGCTGTAAGTTCAATCTAAATGTAACACATTTAACTGACGTTTTGAATGACGTAATTGATCGTTTTTTTACCTTCAACTGTGATTTCGCACTCTATAATAATATTCTAAATTGACTGTCATAAAATTTTTATATAGGGTTTCTTAGTTGAAGGAAAGCTTACCCGACTTTTGGCTCCGCTCGAGAAAGATGAACAATCTTTGATGAGACTTGATGCTATTTTTGCTGTAAGTTTCAAATTGTTACTATTCTGTGGCATCTTGATAAAAAAGAACAGACGTTACGTTTAAGTGCTTTATAAAACTATTTTGTCTTGTATATTTTATTTTCAACTTTGTATATTTTATTTCATTCTTCAAAGGCTCTCTGTATAGAAAATGAAGAAGATATTTATAAACTGGCAAAGTATTTCCTTCAAAGTGAAAATTTAGATAGCGAAGCAAGAAGGTTTGACTTAATGCTGTAAAACGTGTAAACGATTGGGAGCAACAATATCAAAACTTGATTTTTTTGACTGCTAAGCCCAGCAATATTGATTATGGTTAAGTTTTGATATGAAATTATTCTGCAGAAGTTTAAAATACTGTCATAAATTAGAAAAGATGTAAATATTAATGTTTTTCTCTTACATAATATGTAGAGTTGAAGATAAAGACATTGTTGAAGATGATACAAATGAAGAAAAATCTACAAAATCTAGTAAAGGTAGCTTGTAGTTCTTAGACTTTGTTTTAAGAAGCTTCTAGTTTTTAATGTAATTTGTTTTTCTTCTTGTACGTGGAGTTATAATGTTTTCACGAGTTTGTACCATAAAGTCTAATATTATATTAATTTTTATAGATCTCACAGAGCTTATTCATCCAAACGATGTTATCAAAAAGTTAAGAAAATTTGTGGAAGAAAATCGTCAAACTTTGAAGTAGGGTGTATTTTAACTTGCATTTCATTGTTTTCAAACAACTTTTAAATATAGTTATTCAATAAGCAAATTATGGTCCGACGTCAAAACTTAAGACAAAATATATCTTCTTTATAATACGACATTCTGAGAGATATGCAACCATTCATAAAATATATCTTCTTTATAATACGACATTCTGAGAGATATGCAACCATTCATTTATTTACTGCAAAAGACTATGATATTTTAGTTTTACATTCTTCTACGTAGGGAAACAAGAAACGGAACATTAAATTACACTCGTACTCATCGTGATTCGTGGTGAGTTCATCAATGAAGTTTCAATACGATTACTTATAAATACGTAAACTTTCGTCTGGTGATCTGTCATGGGCATTCGTCTTCTTTTTATGATGATAGTTTAGACGGTGAATATTGGCAAAAAATGACCTCTGTCATTGATAAATCAAAAGAACGTGTTTGGAATGCTTTGGAAGAAGGTTTTGAGAAATATCTTTCTGTTTTAACTGATCGTGCTGCTCTCATTCAAGAGACTGAAACTTTAGAATTACAGGTATTGCAGCCTTTTTTCATCCTTATATACTTTAAATAATCCATTCTCGTTGTTTCCCCACTATCCTATGTAATTTAAAAACTGCAGCATTAAAATTTATCTCATTTTCTTAATGGTTTTTTAAGAACTCGGAATTGCGAATGCTCCTTCATCAATATATCAATTCAAAGGTGCGTTTTATTGAAGTTTGTTCTCGTTTAACTGCAATTGGACTTCATTTAAACAAATAAAGAAGTTGACAAAAGTATTTCCTGTCTTAATGTAGTTTTTATGTCTGTGCACCGTTAGTGGACAAAGTAAAAACCATGACCAGCCGACAATTTAAAGAAATATAGTATAAAACAAATTCCGAAGAAGCAAGACATCTTGAGATTGCAAAATATGCATCAAAACAAGACGAGAAGTGAACTGTAAATTTTCGACTTTATTTCAAAGTCATCCTCAGACAGAATGATATTTAATTTCTATTGCTTACTTCCGTTTACTTATTTCATGCGTTGTAAATATATAAGTGTATGTATGGTTTTAAATATCATTCTGTCTGAGGATGACTTTGAAATAAAGTCGAAAATTTACAGTTCACTTCTCGTCTTGTTTTGATGCATATTTTGCAATCTCAAGATGTCTTGCTTCGTCGGAATTTGTTTTATACTATATAGTGGACACAATGCTATCGACTTTAGGAGACTTTGTCCGCTTGAATAATACAAAAGACAACGTCGATGTGTTACTGAAAAATATATAATAAAGCGGAAATTCGCCCATTTTTTTTCCTCGATTGAAACTGCACAATATGATAGTCAGCGAAATTAGCACACAATTTGTGCCTATTTTTAAACCAAGTTGTAAACCGTTTTATATTGTTTGAATAAGTGGGTTACTGAATCACATTCACACAAAAACTAGAAACTATAGATGGTCGATAAAAATTATTTGTAATTGAAGAATTTTAACGTTTCATAGAAAGCTATCTAATTTTTCAATAATGTTGATTATACTTTTTCTTGGAAAGTTTACGTTAATTTTATAATTGCTGCGAAGGGAAACTTGTGTGTTTCCTTTCTAAAATTCTTTGAAGTGTATAAAAATATCATATTATTGAGCATTATGGTTTGAACTATTTAGGTTAACCAAGAACTTGAAATACCTCCCACAAGGCTAATGCAATTCGATGTCTCATCATAAAGTAAGATCAGATGTAAACTTCATCAAAAATTGTAAACATGTTATGACATAGTGACTTATGATGGAATTAATAATGACTCATCACGATCGCAAGTCTTGCTTTATTTAATTATTTAATAATAAAGTGGTTTAATATTGGTAGGTTCATTTAATCTACTTACACTCATTTTAGATGCGTTTGTAAACTGTTGTAATCCGACTATTTTTTGCATTTCAATACAGCATTTTCCCTATATATTTAACAATGAAATGAACAAGGATATAAGTTACATTTATAAACATTCAAATAAGCGATATACAAGCAACTAAGCCATACATTTGAATTTTAATAAAATGCATCATATCATTTTGTAAAACAGTAAATTAAATTAGTTTAGTCATATATAATAAAAATACTTTACATATTGACTATAGTTATAGAATTTTTTCCAAACATATAAATATTACATTGTTTCGAAAATAATTTCTAAATTGTACTTATATACACGTATCATTATACAGCAATATATTTTATTTGTGTTTGCACAAGACCACGTGATCAGTCATTTCTTTGAGTTATTATAACACCAACTTTAACCTCACATGCTTCCATAAGTTATAACACCAGCTTTGATCCCTCCCATGCATGCATGTGTTATAACACCAGCTTTAAACCCCCCATGCATGCATGAGTTATAGCACCAGCTTTGAACCTCTCATGCATGAGTTATAACACCAGCTTTGAACCCCTGATGCATGCATGAGTTATAACACCAGCTTTGAACCTCTCATGCATGCGTTATAACACCAGCTTTGAACCCCCAATGCATGCATGAGTTATAACACCAGCTTTGAACCTCTCATGCATGAGTTATAACACCAGCTTTGAACCCCAATGCATGCATGAGTTATAACACCAGCTTCGAACCCCTGATGCATGCATGAGTTATAACACCAGCTATAGTCTTCAAGAAATCTGGTCGTTTATACAACAACAGAAGTTTAATTGTACTGTAAAAACTTTATGATTTTGAATCATAATCTTTGATGCAATGAAGATAAAGATTTTAGTCTTACTTGGAGTGATTAACTCTGGTATAGGTTAAAATTTTGAAAGCAGTTTAAAGCTGTAGTAATACCACAGAGAAAAGTTGATCTAAAGCCTTAATTCCACAAGCGAAATTTTTCGCGAGAAATGCAATAGCGCTAAACGCAGATAGTTGAGAAATTTTGTCTGTGGAATCATGGCTTAGAATTTGTTTTGTACGACTAAACATTGAAAAATTTATTTCAAAGTTTGTTCATACAAATGGCCCACACCAGAGATGTTCAAGCGTTATTGTATAGCTTTCCTTAATATCACTCGATTATTTTTTGGCGCTCCACCACTGGAGTGGGATGACGATCTTGGTACACGGGCAAATGCTTTGGCTATATATTTGAACGCTAGGCAGGTACGGCATATTTTTATCAAAATATATTGTTGAATTGAAGGTATGAGAATCATTGCATGTATAAATTACGAATTACTCGTCTAAAAAAAAGAAGTATAGCGGAGCTGTTTTATTGAGGAAAATTACCACAAACATTTGTCATCGTCACTCATAAAGATCTCCATTCCATACAGGATATTAGTAATTCAACAAAAACAGGTTTGATCTTTGGAGACATTATATACTCGATGGACATTGTCTACAACAGTAAACATGAAAAAGACAAGCTGTGTGTTACGTTAGTAAAACAATTAAAGGATGGTATACAGATAAATGAAAACCTAGACATCTTAGATAATGAAGAAATGGGTAAGTTTCTAGCACACGTTGTAGTAAAAATTATCAACTCCACACAATTTACAAAAAACGCATCACTCAAAAAGTATTTAAATGAAGCTCCATTTAAGTGACCATCATTGCTTCGTTTCGATTTTCAGATATCGTTCGCCAACTTGTATGGAAACAAAGTTATAAATTCGCTACAGGAGAAGCAGGACGCGCTCGAGGAAAATATTTTTTCGTTTTTTCTTTCTACCCGCCTGTAAAAAACGAAGAAAGAAATCATAAGACTGTCGCCCATTTCAGTTAGGGGATTTATCTTTTTAGTTTTTATATTTTAAGTAATTTCCAGTGTCCACAACAAATTAATCTAAAACTGAACGTTTTAGGAAACATTTCCACATCTTGCGTAAGAGAAATGATAGAGAAGGCTTTTCCTGGCGACAGCAAAAAACAAATCAACAGACACATAGATGTCATGAATAAATACATTCTGGAGGATATTGTGCTACACCACTTCTATAATGACACAAAAGGATGTATAATACCGAAAAGAACAAAGCAAAAGCAAAACACAACAGAAGACACTTTGTTGACAAATACAGGTGGGTAATATACAAAATTCGTCGATGTTTGTTTACACCACTAGCCACAAAGCTTACTTTATGAAGAACTAGACAAGCTAGAATTGGATGAACAATGAGTTTCATTGTATTTTACGCAATTATATATACATGTATCTATTGTAAAATAAAAGTTTCTCCGGATTTTAAAAAATCATTTTTATGATTTTAATAACAAACGAAGATTCAAGAATTTTCTAGCATGACTATTACGACGTATTTTCGTGTTCTTGGAGCTGGTTGCCAGGACGTCAAAAATTCATTTTGTCGTTAATTTTCACAGTACATGATTTCTTCTCAATGATACTTAACAATACAATAGCGACTAAATCCCATACAAAATACAGAGAGAATATTATTGTTATAATGTTATATCTACTTATATTTACACAATTGTTGACTTGATATCCAATTAAATTATTCTGTTGCAACAAATATCATAGTTTAAACATTTTGTTTACTTGGGTACAGAGCAAAACCTAAGAATCTCAAGAATATATGTATCATTTAAATGGTTTTAGATAGTTTGAAGGAATCGAACAAAACACTATCAGATGACCCTTTGAAAGAGGAAAATTCACCAGACGAGAAGAAAGTACAAGAAACTGATCAGGAAGATGTAAAAGTTGCGACTACAAACGGTGAGATAGGACAATTGCACAAAATTGCTATTTTACAGTAAATTTTATCGTTGTAGAACAACGAATTCAACATTTATTTACACAACAGGAATGATGAACGTAAAAAATCCACCAAAGATTATCTTGGTCCCAGTACCTGAACCCATACCACAGACGTCATCACCAATCCCACCAGCAACGCCCGCAACGCCTGTTTAAAGAGAGAAGGCTCAATTTTATAAACATCTTATAGACGTATAGTGCACCTAACCTTAAATTTTTTTGAACAAATTTCATAAATTGTAAACTTTAAATAATATGAGTGAAATATTTATTATAATTGGATAAAAACCTCGTTTTACACAGCTTCTAGCGTCAAGGATTTTTATCCAATTCAAAAAAATAAATTATCAGTATTATTTTACCTCCACAATTTATCAAATCAGTAAAAAAAATACATAAGGTTAAGTTTAATTCAAACGTTGTTAGGTTTATCGTATTAAAAAATGGCGAATGGGTCAGATTGACGTTTATTGGGCTTACCGTTATTGAAAAGTTGATGTATTATTGTCATACACAGTTGCCATATCTTCATGTTGACAAATAAACAAAACTTTACGGAATTTTTCCAATAACGTCAATAATTGATTTCGTCGTAAATTTTCGTAATACATGATTTCTTCTAAATGATGCTTACCGTTAAAATAACGACAGAGCCTAATAAGAAACACAGAAAGAAATTTAATCTTAACTTTGCCAATTTTTATAAAATAACTGATTAAGACGAAACACGTGTAACTTTGTAAACTGGTCTCTTCATTGACGGGCAAAACACTTGGATTAATAAGAATATTCTTTACTCTAATTGTGATCATATCTTACGTAACGACAAAACTTTAATCTTCACCTAAATAAATACATATTTCCCAAAAAATGGCTTTTCTTAAATATAATGTTTGGATTATTACGTCTGCAAATCACTGGCTAAATATTTGAATTTAATTATATTAAAATGTATTGCTTAAGTAGAGTCGCCATTAATACCTTTTGAAAAGTTTCTGGGCATCAGGATCGTCAAAATCAATACAATGGGAAAATACTTCATTGTTATCAACAACACCACTCTTTTCGGGAATTAAGGAGATGTACATGTGCAGCTACATGAAGTAATGACATGGAAGAAATTAAGGAGATATACATGTGCAACTACATGAAGTAAAGCCCCGTGCTAAGTCCACTTCATAGTGCCAGTCCACTTGAAGAAAAACGGTAATTTTACCTGTAATAATAAATGATGTTTCAACATCCAAATCACTCGTTGAACTTGATCTGTCTTAAAAAGAAATATCAAGGTGTTGAGATGTACCCATTACAATGAAAACAAAAGCCGTTTACGATGCAATGATGAAGTGCTACCTTCTGCTGAACAGACCATAATGGACTGGCATGCTCCCCCAAGGGAGTTGGTAACGAAAATTGAGCTAAATGATCATGAAGAGACATGCCAATGTATTCAGATGAAAAATGTTCAGCAATTTCAGATTGGCTAAAAAAGCAACACCTGCAGGTCAACTTACTTGTCATGATTAAGACGACAAATCTTACACAACAAATAATTGTTGAATAACGTTACTGACTTTTAAAACTAGGCAATATATGGCGGGTATGCATGTATAAAAATAACTATTCACGTGTTTTTTTTCAACCAACCAATGAATAGAAGCCATTGGCGAAACAACATAAACATTACTCTCACAGAGAGGGTAAATTATCTTCGCTTTACCCCAATAAACAAGATGAGCTGCGATGGAAAATATCTGAAATTATAAAGCATGGATCGACAAATAATCTACTGCATTATGAACAATATAACACGAATATTTGAGTTTTAATAAAAAATATAACAACGACAATGTATTTACCAAAGACAAAGGAATATCAGTATCCTGTGATAATGTCTGGAAGCTAAACATAGATCGAATTGCAAAAAAAAAGTAAAATATGATCTGAAATCTTATAGCAAAAAAACATAAAGATATTTCTCAGTTACAGGTAAAAGAAAATTAGAAGCAGGATGTAAGAGTTACCTCTTTAAAGGAGTTGACATCTTTACAAATCTAATAAGATCTGGAGAAGAATCATTCGGAAGCAAAGATGACAATGAAATTTCATCTACCAGCAGTAGAAGAGTATGATATGGTCTAAAAGTTAGAAAGGTGTAACATGTTAACTTGAGAATGAATATTTGAACTTTTAAACAAACTCGGCAACATTACATGAAAAAAAAACATATGAAATTCACTGTAACAGTGAAAAATAATACGTAGAAAAAGTCACTCGGCACAAACATAATGTAGTTAATGCTAAGAGCAACAAATATGCGCAAGGAGCAACGATTGGCCACAAATCAGGAAAAAAAAGGGAAAGACTCGCGCCAGAATGACTAAAAATGCACTAGATACAATAATCTTGAATTCTTTGCGTATTATTAATTTATAATGCTGTACTTTGTTAATACAGAGGAAAATTCAGTAACATAGAGAAAAACAGTTCAAAACTGCAAACATAGAGCGAATAATCAATGTATGAATGAACGTAATGAACCGTTGAGAAAAGAACTTTAACTCCAGACCAGTGGCTGGCGTAGCAAACCAAGGCGTTTGGTCGTACTGTGTAAATATTTTGTGTTCAATCACAGTAAAAACAATAGATTTCTAAAGAAAGAAATAATGCTATTGATCTAAACTTTACATAGCAGGATCCAACGCGCATGATTGCTATACATACGCCACAGGTTTACAGATTTCTGCTCATAGATGTGAGAATGACAGTTTATGCCATTTACTCGTCCAGTTTTGCGCTTCGTAGTAAGTTAACAAATTTTTTTTCATAGGTATTATTTATGATTTTGCTGTGATTTTGGTTTTCCCAAGATTTAATTGTGTTAGATAAGATTTCGCGAGTAACTGAACTGTTTCACAACTCAATTCTTGAGCGTTTGTACATATTATGAATTTGCAGTATGCAGTTGGCAGTTTTGAGATTTTTCTTTGAGATACAAAAACTTTCGTTTGTAACAAAAAAGAAGTTAAACTTATTTCAAATCGTGTATTTTTGTCAAGTTGTACACATAGTGAAAAATACCTCATGGCAGATAAACAAGCCAGTACTGCCTCTGGCTAAAACGAAATAAAAAATATAATTCACTGGATGATGGTACATGAAGGATGACGAAAAAATTGAAAAACAACAAACTTTAAGAGAAAAAAATTAAAATACCTTTATAACAAACTCAGAGTTGAAATTATGAACTTTTTGAGGTAAACAAAATCCAACACGAACCCAGTTGTTCATTTTAAGATCAACCATTCCAGTTTCACTGACACTAAGTACAATTTGAAACTTTTTTAGGAGATAAACACAAACACACAGCACAAAAGTCAAAGCTTAAAACAACAAAGACAAAACTGTTGATTTATGCATCATGCTCTGTACATATGTAGCTGCATGTTTAATCTTCAGTTCAAAAAAATTTTATGATTATTGCTTCTATTCATATTATCATCTCACCTACAAAAGGTACTACAAAGAGTTCTAGCAAGAGAGCTTCTTGATAAAATAAGGTGAAATGGAGAGATTTCGTTGGCTAAAATATAAGCAAGAATTTGCATTCATTTGATTGCCTATTTTAAGTAATTTACTTCAAATTCAAATTAACTCTCATTTTCCATTCAATACAACAAACCTTCAGGTAGCTCTGAAACTTCATCGTGTATTTCCAACATTGTTTGCCTTTCTGAACTAAAATAACCACATCTGAAAAGGAGACAGTCCCTTTTTAAAATTTCAGCATGTGTGTAGTTTTCATTTTTGCACAATGGTTTTAACCTGAGTTCTTCATGTTTCAAAGCAGTAGAAATCTTGTGAGAAAGGTCATGGTAACTTTCACAGATTGAATAATCAACATCCGCCTTTAAAAAGACAATATGACACATTACTTTTTACAATTTCAATATCCGCACCATTAAAGTACTTCAACTATATTTTAGATATACCTGAAGAGCAAAAACAATGTTGAACAGTTTGATGTCATCAACATCAACTTTAATATCATTTCTCTAAAGAAGAAATATGCCAAAATAATCAATTAAAATGCTAAACTTTAAGCTATATAAAACACGAAGAAAATAAGAAACTAAATATACTGCGTAAAGTTTCAAACCTTTATCTTCAAAAACATAAATATTACTTTTATCAACAAATATCTAGCAGACATGTTGTAAAAGTCAATTGAAGTCTTTCGTTCTACCTGATTAAAGGAATTATGCGATACGAGAGTAGGATGGCCAATGAATAATATGTCATCAATTCTCAATTCAAACTTCTTTCCGCACAACTTTTCTCCAGGAGTTAGGACATTAGCTAGAGTTTTATCTAAATAACTAAACAACCAACAAATGTAAGATTCATTCGTAGAGCAATAATTGGAAGGGGGGGAGGCAAAATTCTATATGCTATAATCCACTGAAATCAATACACATATCCTGTTTATAAAAATATCCCCCCCCCCCATTATCATTCTGGCGGGGCAACTGTATATTTGGTGGCTCAGGCAAGGTCAGTGGATGACAACACAGATTAACAAATTGACATAAACTCCTTGGGATAAAGTACAAACAAAGTAGAGTCACAAAAATTTTTCTCCACAAGGAATCAGCAATTTCAACCCATCACATATTGTGCTGCGCCAGATAGAAAATATATTAGAGGTACTAGAATAAGAAAATTGAGATTATATTTAAATTAACCTCAATTTTTTTTCAGATGCAATGCTTTTGCTGCCATTTTCATCATCTGCAAATCAAATTAATATAATTCAAACATTAAAGGCCTGACAGCTAGATGTCATTTGGTACTGGAAACCTTTTAAGCTGCACACTCCAACCTCAAAATTAGCATGCATGCATAAGTGATTAGTTTTTATCAACATGGGTGCATAACACAAACTTTCCAGTCTTGTATGTCAGCACAATGGTATTAACGGTACTGCGCAATATTACATATTTCTGAAGTTTTAATTGAGCTGCTACGGAATATTCAGAAGAGTGTCATCATCTATTTTTCTGAAATCATTAGTTTGTACAGTTATTGAACACTGTATATTTGCGTAGTATGACTAAATAGACGGGCTGGCTACGCCACTAAATATACACCAACAGCTAGAATGGGATACAACTGTTAAGTTACGTTGACATTATGAAACTGTATTAATAATCGTACCATTATGATTCATAAGCTCATTATACGGGTATCTAAACAGTAATTTCTCGCCTCTGCTTCCAGCTGTAACTAAAATTATGTTCACTGGTTGAAGTAAAGACATAGTAATGACATTATTATTTCATCTTGCTCTGGCTCTGACCATGATTTGTCATGGTATTCGTTATCATTTACTAATGGTTATATCTGCTGCAGGCCATATAAGTTCGGTATTTCCCATCAACCAGATGGATACTGCAAACATTCTTTGCAGTTTTTTACAAACAGATAGTCAAAACGAAAAGCATTTTAAGAAGCCATTTATACCCAAGAAAAAATTATCGAAGAAGGCAAAAGGTGATTTATCTTTGTAAGAATGATTATATATTTTGGTTAATTCGAAATGTTATCGTCAGAAAAGTGAAAAACCAATAACTGTTATTTAACGTGAATTTACGTTAAAATTATTTAACATGATTTTTCTTACAAAACAAATTGTTCAATGTTTTATGTTTACATTTAATATATTCTAACGACCATGACAGCACGGGGCTGGACAAGCACGAATGCAAGTATGAGCGCATACTGGAGGACATGGAGGTGGGGGTCCTGGTGGAGCAGGATTTCCTGGTGGTCCTGGTGGTCCAATTGGTCCCATCACACCTGGATCACCAGGAGGTCCTTGATGGCCAGGTGAACCTGGTACTCCAGGTGGTCCATCACGTCCAGGTGGTCCTGCTGGGGCACCTGGCTGCCCTGGAGCTCCGGGTGGTCCAGGAGGTCCAGGATGACCCAAAGGTCCTTTGGGTCCGTCTGGTCCCATTGGTCCAGGCATACCCATAGGTCCATCCATGCCAGGTGGTCCTGGTGGTGGAGGTGGAAGTGGAGGAGGTGGTGGGGGATAAGATGGAGGTGGAGGATGACTGCAACACGTGTGAGAACAAACTGGTGCACAGATTCCTGGACATCCACCACCACAAGGACTAGGAATAGCACTACGTGCATCTAGTTACACAAAAAAGCACATTTAAACAATGTAGAATTGTTAAACTAACCGTAGATTTTTTCCTTCTTCATGCATTGCAGTATTTTACGCTGTTGCTTACGAAATGTTAGAGAGTATTAAGTATTAAATAGACGAACTTGTTGGGAATGTAACTGTCATGACAATTTTCAAAAAAATCACAAGTTAATTTTTATAGTTCGAAGTTAGTTGACGTTGTACGTTTGCAGTTAAAAGAATTTTCATGCTGTTGTATATTTCAAAGGAAATCTTCGCGATATGTTTTCTATGTTTAACGATTTTATATTTCCTATGTTTAACTCTAGCTAAAAGTACAAATCATGTTGCTCACACGAAATGATTTTTTAAAAATTTTGAAGGAAACTATGATTGTTAAACTAGAGCAAATTGAAAAATTATATTTGCTTATAATGTAAAGCAAAGTTTATTGGTAGTTATTGTAACTACCGTCAGTAATTACAACGTTATTAATGTAATGGAGTCTAGTATGAAATCATTAAAACATAGTGCTATTTCTAATGTATTGCCATTATTTGATCTGCTGTTGCTTTATATTTTTTTGGGTTTAATGCCAATTCCACACTCAGTGCTGCAATTCATGTTCAACTAACACTGTTGTGGTTCAAACATAAAACAATTGACTTTTTGGTAAAATCAAATCATTCTTGGAATGTTTCCTGCAGAATATTTAACTGTCCTTACGTTCTGTTTTTGCTGAGCCTCGTTTCATAATTATCTTGGCTTGTCCTAAACATATCACTCCAGCTACTAGGAGCCCTGTCAGCGCCCAATTCATCTTGAATTACCAACAAAAACCTACCATGAAGGATGAAATGTGAATTATTATACAAGTCTACTTAAAAAGACTTCAAATGATGACAAGATTTTAAGTGAAAACTCAACTTACCACTAGACAGTTAAGAGTTCCTTCTTCTCTTTAAACGTTAGTGAAAAACTGTTTGACAGTTATAAATGATACAATATGGGGCCTGTTTGATTGTCATCAATAAATAAGTGGTTTTTCTGGTGTTGCGAAAAAGTTCTTTGTTTTAAGCCAAATTGCTTGTGTCCATTTTGTTTGGTTTTACGACTGAATGAATAAGTTAATGACCGTGTTATCTGAAAAGAACACCACCAAAAGTTTTATTAATTTCTCACTTGCAGTAACAGGTAGTTTGCTAATATAGCCTCATTCACGATCAAAAAAATATCAATTTTCAACATCAACACTGAGTTTTTTTGATTTCCCCGCAGTTACAAACACCAAAACGCATATTTGTTTTTTTTACAACATGAAAGTAAATTGATAAATTAGAGATGGGTTGTAGGAATATTCTCTCTTGTTGTAATGAGATGTCATTTTGACGGAAATCGAATTCTCAATAAAGAGATTGGAGCCTAAAAAATGGTTATGAAAAAATCCATTAGCGTTTGATTTTTATAATATTTATTGAAAAAAGGCAAGAGACGTTTCGTCTTAACTCAAGATATCTTCAGACAAATTACAGAGATTGTGTTACTAGGAAGTATATACAAAATGATATTTATTTTTATTTATGATAACAGATGACTCTGGATGTGCAACTGGAATTTAATGCGAATACGGAGCACTGATAAATTTGATTTAAAAAAAGGAAAAGGCAAGTGTAAGACAGGGGGGAGACAAGTCATTAAATAAGTTAGTAATTATTTACCAGTGTGAACACTAACTATTAGTTTGAAAATATCTTGCGTAAAGACAAAACGTCTCTTGCTTTTTTAAATAAATACTGTAAAAATAACGTAGCTATATAGCCTTCTTAAAATCGATTTTTTACACTCTAATCTTTATACTGATAAATGTAACATTCATCAATGCATATGGGGCCTCATAAAACCTTGTTAAGCTCATCTTAAAGTGTTGATTTCTAGAAACCATGAAATTCAACTTTTTCAATTGAAGTTATACATGAAAGATATGTACATATCAGCAAATATTGCTATCGTAAAGGCTAATTGTTAATTATTAATTAATAATTTCAAAAATACAAAATGGAGTTTTCAAAAATGCCTTACAAGCAACTATTCTGATTGACTTGCTCACGAGTAAATCTGTAGTATTGCCTTAGGAGTGAAGCAGGAATACAACACAATTATTTCATCAACAAACGACAATATCAAATGTTATTAAGTAGGTCGTTATTAAAACATCTCCATAGTAAAATTTTCTGGTGATATGAGACTTGTTTTTTGTACTAACTTTTCAACTCTCAGTGGAAAAGATGACTTCAAAAGATAAAAAATTTAACACTGAATTATTTCTTTCCAATCTATAATAAAATATTTTCAACGTCAAACACCCTTAATCATATTCTGTTGACTCAAATAATCTATAACCGACTGAATCCCCGACGAAATCAAACACGTGCAATCAATCAGATGCTGTGATGTATAGTTTTCATAAAGACAGATATTAACAATTGATATATTTAGATTAATGATTATAATAATCTGTATTAAGCTGTATACGTGATTTTTTTCTTCTATAACTCAAAGCAATATCTCTAATGGCTTTTTATTAGTGATTATAGAAAAAAATTACTTAATACACACGACAATCAATAAAAGACTAAAGCTAAACGTTTGTTTTTTCATTAAATTTTTATATATGTTTGACATTTGTCCCATTTCAGTGAACAAAATATTGTTAAGAAAATCATTTTCCTGGAAGACCTGCATGACCAGCTCCACCACGTGTCCCTTTTCTTCCTCGTGGTCCAGGAGGTCCAGGTGGTCCAGGCTTGCCAGGAGGACCTGGTGGACCATAAATTGGTGGTGGGGAAGGAGGTGAGGTTTCTTTTGGCAGTGAATCTCGACGTCCAACCGGTAAATAAGGCATTCCTGGGGGACCTGGTGGTCCTGGGAGTCCTGGGGGTCCTTGTACACCTTGTGGACCTTTGGGACCATCGGGCCCAGGTGGTCCAGCAAACCCTGGAGGGCCATCCATACCTGGTGGTCCGGGGGGTGGAGGAGGTAAAGGACTGTAGAAAGGATTATTTAAGAAGCGTTTATCTATAACAGAGAATTAAAGCGTGTTTTTATTTATATTACAAGAATTTCGAAATTTTGAATTCAAACTTACCTATCTTTCGAGCATTACTGCATGCTAAAAATACTAAAACGATCACAATGAAATTTGAATCCACCATTTTCTGTAAAAGAAAGAAAGATTTTTGTACAAGTACTTCAGCCTTGTAGCTATGACAAAATACGCTGGCTTCAAACATCCTTTATCTCTATTCTTAATGAGCTGCGAACTGTGGCTGAATTTTCCTGAAAATTTAAGACAGTGTTGTTTTGTTTTCCAGTTGAGCAAATGCTGTACGATTTTATCTTCTTTTTAAGAGGATATAAAGCGTAAAATTGGTGTCTATATTTCAATACTTTCTACCGTTTGTATGCGCCTTTCAAGATGAACGCTATAGTGTCAGAGCACATGTTAATGTGAAGTCAGTGATTAAACATATCTAAAACATTTTTGAAACACGCTTTACATTGAAAATTAGTAATAAGTAAAAAGAAATAATCCTTGCAACGAAAAATAAAATAAAACATTAAAATATGAATCAATTTCTTACCTTGTTTTCTCTTGTTTTTTTCAGCGAGATTCTGTGATGAGAACAATCCAAAATATCTGTTATCAACAGGTTTTTCTTATTGTTTTCATTATTGGACAGGTTACATACTTCATCGTTTCAAACTGTCATTGGTACATTGTTCTACCGTACAAGTGCCGGATTGTTTACATGAGAAAGAAACAAAACAACAAAAGAGCACAAGGAATAATAAAGTAGTACTATTAATGTATTTTTTTCAAGTATTTAAACAAATTTTTATACTTTAATAGTTGATTGAGACTGTATACATGGAAAATCAAAAGAAAAATACATTTCTTTGAAGTGCTTCCCAGTCGAGGAAAGCTTTCAAACTCAAAAGGCTCATTTTCAAAAAACCGTCAAAGTTTTTAATCTGTTCTATAAGTTAAATTCGACTTTTCTCAGTTTTTCACAGTATAACAGCAGGTCTTATGTATCACATAATTATCTTCAAGCAGAAAAGGGTTTGGGAACGAGATTTTCTCAGTCAACTCAAATTTGTGTTTGACTTCACTGAAAGTTTCAGAATTGAGCTCTAAGCTGCTGATCGAAAAATCACACAACGATGGAGGCAAAGACAGATAAGGTTTTCAAATAGTTGATGATGAATATGATGAGAAATGAATGATGTTTATAATTTTCCCAGTTTTAGCATACATTGAGCAACAAATGGCATAACATTTCAAGTTAAAATTCATCATTATTCATGCTATATTTTTAATCAATGTCGATAAATAAAAATTGTCAAACGACTTTTTATTTTTATAGAAGAAAACATGGTGTTACAGTGTGAGTTTTGATAATAATGATTTAAACTTGTATAAAGAAATATAAAAGTTACAGAAACTCCATTCTACACTGACAAAAACATTATCTCAATTAACATTAAATTTGAATTTCAAATCATTAGTTCAGTGTAGTTGTTCATCTACTTGCGTTTCTGATTCTGATAATCCCTTTGCCGCATGAGAAAACTAGAAAAATGAAAGTTAATGAAAATCACGAAAGCCTATATATTTGAACATATCCGAAGCTTCTATAGAACCACAATTACGACAAAATAAGCAAAAACACACTCTGTATATTCGCACACTTCCCACTCGTGGCGTTCATGTTTACATTTCCACGGTAAAAAGTATGTATTTCTCCGACATTCCAACAATGGCACCATAAGGTGAGCACAGTAATCGCGAAGATGAAGAGGCACTTTAGCATTGGCCAACTCTTTCTTCGAAATCTTCATTTCTTCAACAAACGTAAACAGAAAAAGGATAGTAATCAAGCTTTAAACTTGTGTAAGCATTTGCAATTGCAAAGTGTGAAATTATTGAAAAAAACTATAATGTGAGTTTGATTATATAAGAAAATACGAAGTTATTACCTCTGAATTTTGACGAGTTTTGATCCGCCATGTTGGATAATTCTGGAGCTATGAAAGTTGGCAGTTTCGGCAACAGACATATTCTCATACATCAAAATTACATAGCACACATTCGCTTATATCAAATACAAATGAAGAATCAAATAATTTTATTTCATGTGAATTTCCTCATTTGACTAAAAATGGTGAAAAAAGATTCTTGCGTCTGTAGTCAATATGTGCTCTAGCAAACATAATTTTTGATCAATTACTATAGAAACTGTAACTGGTTATGAACTTTATCGTTAATTATAATTAGCTGCAATGGAAAATGTCCAATTTTCCTAAAGCTACTTTGCCCATGTTATAAACTTAAAATGACTTGGTTTTGGTGTTTCTTTGGTTGTAACCACTGGTTGCAACTTACTTATAGTAACCAATTGTAAAACATTGTCACCTTGGTAGTTACCAGTTCCTTTTATAAAAAGGTAAGATTCAAGATGGCGGGCAACAGCAAAAATATTTTGGTCAACTACTTCTAATGATAAAATCCAAAATTACATTTTCATCGATTCATTTGTTTTAAAACGAAACATAAGAAAATCAGAATATATATCGTCCAAAATGTTTCACAAAGGATCAAGAGAGAAGCCAAGAGGACTCGGTTTTGGTGGTTTTACTGTAAATAGCAAACCAAAAGAACAAACTTTACAACCTTCGCCTGTTGCTTCTCAACGAGCAGTTAAACACAAAATTTCTGGGAAGTCTCAATCCATGGCTTTTAAAAGACCGTAAGTTTGTTAAATACTCTACGTCGAATAATACATAAAATGTAAAGTTTTTCAAAACTACACTTTTCTTGTCATCGAATATGGATGTTTTGTGATCAAAGGATGTTTTAGGATAGAGGAACATTACAGAATAGATGGATATTATGTTGTAGAGCAGTATATATTAAGTGATTGAGGGATATTATATGATAGATATGTGTTACAGAATAGATGAATGTTATGTTATAGAGCATTATATATTATGTGATTGAGGGATATTATATGATTGATATGTGTTACAGAATAGATGGATGTTATGTTATAGAGCAGTATATATTATGTGATTGAGGGATATTATATGATTGATATGTGTTACAGAATAGATGAATGTTATGTTATATAGCATGTGATTGATATTATATGATGATAGATGATGTTATAGAGCATATATATTATGATTGAGGGATATTATATGATGTGTTACAGAATAGATGGATGTTATGTTATAGAGCAGTATATATTATGTGATTGAGGGATATTATATGATTGATATGTGTTACAGAATAGATGAATGTTACGTGATAAGAGGATGTTATGTGATTGGATGGAGGGATTTCATGAGTAGTGATTATTTTATTATATTAATGGTACCCAAGCACTTTACTGTCTTTCACAACATCCATATGTACGTACTGTACCATTGAATATTAATTCATTTTACTGTTATCTTTGTGAATTTAATCAGTGCCAATTTTGGTGATGAAAGTGAAAGTGAAGATGAAAATTCTTATTATGGAGACAAAAGTAAAGTTTATGAACCTGAACCCATTTGTTCTACAAATGATAATGATGATGAAGAAGATGAACTGGATAAATTTATGGCTGGAATTGAGGTATACACAACAGAGTACAAGATAGTGCTGTGCACCAAGTACTGTAGGCCAAAGTTAGGCCAGAGCTCTGGCTATTTTTGCCTGCCAGAGCCAGAGTTTGTTCATCTTTGACAAAACTCTGGCAGCAGTTGTTTGTGCTGCAAAATACTGTCAAACTTTGGTAAACCTGTCTGATCAAAACATATTTGTATCCACAAGATTACAATTTTCTAAAAGTGAAAAACTTGCATGAAAATAAAATATTTTATGCATGACACAACATGATGCTAGATTGCATTTACACATGCTAATTTATGAATCAAAGTCGAGTGCGGAATCTAACTTTATATTTAAAGACAGAACAGTAACTTGCAAAACTAACCAGCCACAACCAGATATTTGAGTTATAAAATAGCCAGAGCCAGAGTTTGAAGCCAAAGCTCAGATTTGACAAGTGGCTGGAGCTAGAGCTGAAAAACTGGAGTTTGCACAACAGAGTACAAGAGATCAATTTTAGCTAATGTTTTTTATATGTAGGGTTTGCTTGGCAAGCTGTCATTTTTCATGTCATTATTTTGGTGTTTATTCATCACAAATTTAACGTTTTTTTCAACATCGTGCTAATAAAATCATCCAAGTCAAGATTATCCAAAAGTAGATTTTGCAGTTGGAAAATAGCATTCACAAAATTTTCCATAAACTAGTCCCCACTACCAATTCAATGTCTTGTTATAAGTAGTAATAGTCAAATGCTTCAAAATGCTTTAAAGGGTTGTAGAGTATAGTGAAAAAACTTAAGTTCCTCTGTTTAAAAGTCAGTGTTTCCAATATTGACACTTAATTACATACACAAAAACTCTATGATCAGCAATGACTCACAAAGTAAATAGTAGATAATGTGAAAAAATTGAAAACAAAACAGGAAATATCTTACTTCCCATGAGAAAATTCTTAAATATGCATACATGCCGATGTTATGCCTACATTTATAGATACTGAGTAAAATTATGGAGAACTGGGCAAAATTTTACTCATGTGCCCTGTAGGGTCATGATTTTAAACATTTGATCAGAATTATAATGGTCTTAATTGTACGTCTTTAGATATATCAAGCGCCCCTTCATAGCTAGGTTGGTGCCCTGATGTCCCATTGTACCCCTCCCTCTCCTTCTCTTAAGAGGCTTGTCGGCATTCACAACATATCATGTCTTGTTACTGTATCAAGACATGACATGTTATATAACTGTATCATAACGTGATGTCATACCATGTAACTGTTACTGTCATAAAACTTAATCAAAATAAGAATATGCAAAGTTTATTTGTAAGACACCAAGCATTCATATATAAGTAACATGTAAAAACACCAGGTTGTCACTCTATTTTCTATTCGTAAATTGCGAAAACGAGACGTTAATTCGAAACCTGTCGACTTAAAAATTAAAAGTCTGATTCAGACTCTGAGATAAAGACGCCTAAGCCTCTTTTTTGTAGTTGATAAACGTTATTTTACAATCCGAAGGGGAGATTTGATTGATACTTGATGTTCCATTGAATATGGAATGATAGAGCTTCATAGACGTTGAAAAAATTCATAAAACAACTGATACTATTTAAATCTTTGAATTGTTGTGTTTGTTACGTACATTTTAATTACACATCAAGATGTGTTGTTCTTGAATTTTTGGTGTTATAATTTTAGCAAGAAGTCGAGAGAGAGAAAATTTTATCAGCTACTCAACAGGACGAGAAAGCAAGCAAAAAGTAAGAATATTCAACATGTCTTGATTACAAGGCTTGTGAAAGAAAGCAGAAAACCCTTGACAATTTTTTGACTTATGCTCCCTGACAATGGTTAGCAAAGTACTTACAAAGTATTGCAGCTTTGGAATGTAGTACTTCACGTAAAACAAAGCGATTAAAATAAAGATTGTACAAACAATAAATTCCCCCTCGTTTTCACCTATCTTTCTTGACTTTACATACAGTGTATGGTTATTTGGCGACTGCTTACTCATCTTTGAATAGAATCATTATCATGATAAGCAAAAAGCTGTTTTTTATGTATCTTCTTAATGGCAATTTATACAAATTTTGACTACATAAAGCCTTATCTAAGTCCTTACATTCAATCCAGTTACATTCAATAAGTTTGTAATTTTTTAACTAGAAGTCGAAGAGATGATATTGAGGATGAAGATGATCAAGAGTCGTTTTTCCGAATTATGAAAGAAGCTCCTCTTGAATATTATCCTGATGAAGATGAAGAGATTGATTACGATAGCGATGGAAACCCCATTGCTCCACCAAGATCAAAGGTAATCACTAAAACCTTGAAATGTTTCATCTTATATTCACTGATAATTTTCCTATAGTTTTATTCACAGCTTCACATATCTGAAGGATAATCTTGCTGTGCGCACAATTCTTAATGCTTGCTTTAAAATCGTAAATTATACAAAACTGTGTGACTTCAATATTTGACAACATCGTACGCGATCAGTCGCTCGTTCAATTTACTCTGAGAAAATGAGTGCGCGTGCGCACTTTATAAGAAACCCCGTGCTTTTTATTGCTCAACTAAAATTAAAACTCACAATATAATTTCAGCTTTCTAAACTCGTGTTATATTATGTATTATTTATTATCTATGCTTCTATCATCGTTATATTTAATGTTTGTGATAAAATCTTGATTCTTTTTATTATTTTTACTTTTTAATCTTTTTTGTAGATAATTGAACCATTACCTCCAATTGATCATTCCGAAGTTAGTATAAACTAAACCTACACAAAAGTTATGTATAAATTTGTTGCACAAAGAATATTTTTATTGTAGCATTCTAAGAAATGTGGTGTGATAATTTCAGATTGCGTACAAGAAGTTCTCAAAAAATTTCTACGAGGAACATGATGAAATCAAGAATTTGACCCCGGAGGCTGTCATCGAATTACGAAAAAGTTTAGGCTTAAAAGTAAGAGCGATCACCGCTTTTTGGTTAATAACAGAGAGGGACGTTGCTGTTTGTGTAGCGAAGGGGGGGGGAGTTACCTATCTTGAACATGAATGTCATGAACTGTTTTGCTTTTACAATTATTTTTGTGTTCCTGCAATTGATAGACAGTGAATGTCTGAACAAATTAATAAATGTTTAGTTTATAAATTTACATTGCTGGACTAAAAATTGAAACGAGTTTCGTTGCTAGTGTGAAAATGATCGCATTCTCTTACGGTGTTATAATGTTACATATATCAATACTGTAAATATATATTTGTGTGAAACATGTTTTTCATCACGTATTTTGTTGGTCTAGTCCTAAAATAATCAAGTTTGAATAATTGGTTTCAACTTAGCAATGACTTTACTTCAATAAACAGGTTTCTGGTGCTGAACCTCCACGACCTGCTGCAAGTTTTGCACATTTCTGTTTTGATGAGGCTCTTCTTACTGCAATACGAAAATCTGAGTATACTAAACCTACTGCCATTCAAAGCCAGGTAAGCTTACTGTTTTGCCCGCCATTCAAAGCCAGGTAAGCTTACTGTTTTGCCTGCCATTCATAGCCAGGTAAGCTTACTGTTTTGCCCGCCATTCAAAGCCAGGTGAGCTTACTGTTTTGCCCGCCATTCAAAGCCTGGTGAGCTTACTTATTTCACGTTTTATGGTTGATGTGTAGGTAATTTTGTCGACACTCTAGTCCCTACTTGCGTACTCATATACCTACTTTATCCTTTATGTCCTTTTATCTATCTCACAGAATAAATTATGTGCATCATTCTGTTTGTTTATACTCTATTGCAACAGTTGTATCAAACGTTTGACATCTTCTACGATAATTTTGATCACATTCAACATATTTTAGGCAGTTCCAGCTGCGGTAAGTGGTCGTGATATCCTAGGTATTGCTAAAACAGGCTCAGGTAAAACAGCGGCATTTCTGTGGCCAATGTTGGTCCATATAATGGATCAGAGAGAGATGCAAGTCGGAGATGGTCCTATTGGTTTAATTTGTGCACCAACACGGGAACTCTCACAGCAAATTTATCTTGAAGCGAAGAAGTTTGGTAAAGTTTATAATATTCGCGTAGCATGTGTATTTGGTGGTGGAAACAAGTACGAACAATCTAAATCATTGAAGGAATATCCTGAAATTGTCGTAGCTACACCGGTATGTTTGTCTACTAAACACAATATAATCACAAATAGTATAATCATTTCCCTGTGGTTAATCAGATTAGCATTATTAAATACTTTATGAGAACGTAATCGAAGCCTTTGATCCAAATTCAGTCAGCACATAATAAACAAAACAAAAGCGGTTTTTCTCTACAAAAATCGATGCTCAACACTTCAAAAGAACATTGAAAGGAGAACCGATTAATAATTATTGTGCGAGACCTGGAAATGTGGCCGGTCAAAGTAAAAAATTGGCTCGCCTTTGTCCGCTGACCAGCTGTTATATATTGAGCCTTGATTGTGTGATCCTTATGTACTATGCCTTTGATTACCTACTTCCATTGGATGTCTGTTCACGGATAGGAATTATAACATTGCTCAACACAAAGTTTTATAAACCGTGGCATAAAATATTTGTCTTGAAGCATTTCCAGAGATATCTTGTAGAAATCTAAGTTCGTGTTTTTGTCCAACTCGAGTATTGCTTCATTAGAATTATTGATTCTTTTACTAAAACTATCAACTGCTTCATCGGATAACGATAAATTGCATCAATCTATTGTTTGGTGCTTATTATCAATTTCTAGGGACGTCTTATTGATCATATTAAAGACAAGACAACAAATCTTGAACGTGTTACATTTCTTGTTTTTGATGAAGCTGACAGAATGTTTGATATGGGCTTCGGTATGTATTCTATTCTAATTTTAAAAATAAAGTTATTATGTATAATTTTTCCATAAATACATTTTTTTGTATTTAGAGCCTCAGGTTCGCTCTATTGCAAATCACGTTCGTCCAGACCGACAAAGTAAGTTAAGTTTTTATGTTTAATCATATTAAATATTTGACAGCAAAAATGTTAGAACTATATAGTTTTTATCTTATCACGCTGATATTTCCGATGCAAGTTTATCCTTGAGAAAAGAGTTTTCATGTGGGACTATCTTATTTTTTTACTTAAATCAAATCTCCAAACTATTTATTTTTATTTTTCATACAGCTTTGCTTTTCAGTGCAACATTTAAAAAGAAAGTTGAATTACTTTGTCGTGATATTTTGACTGATCCTGTTCGGATTGTCGTTGGCGAATTAGGAGAGGTTGGTTGATATGCTTTTGATTGCAAATTTTAAAGTTTTCTGTAGATTATTATGGTATGAAAATTTAACTTTAGATTCATACGCACAGTATAATTAAACAAGATATCCTCAGTATTATTCTTTTTGAGACTCTGAATTTATGATGCAGAAAACTAAGTTTTTATTTTTTGCCAGGCCAACGAAGATGTGACTCAAATTGTACAGATTTTTAATGATGGAGCCAAGAAGTGGCAGTGGCTTGTTGGAAATCTTGTTCGATTTACATCTGGTAGTTTTATGAGAATTATTTCACAATGTCTCTTTGAAACACATGTAGAGAATTGCTCTTTTCTTTCATTACAATTATTACGTTTTAGTAACTTTATGTACACAGAATGTTAGCTCAGTTTACGTTTTGTATTCTTCTGTTTGTATGGGAGAAACGTGCTTAACGACCGCTTGTTGCTCTAAATCTAATTTTATGAACTTCTGAAACTGCATCAAAATTTTATGAAACTTCATCAAAACATTTCTATTTAAACATTTTTTGCAGAGGGCAGTGTGTTGATTTTCGTGACCAAAAAGTTAAACAGCGAAGAACTATCGCAAAATCTCAAGAGAAACGACTTTGAGCGTAAAGCATTAATATTTGTTTATGATTTTTTTAACATGGAAAGCAACTGGGATGCACTTGACATGAAAACTACGTATCTTTTTGTGAACAGTTTTATTGATTCATGGTGATATGGACCAGTTTGAAAGAAACAAAGTAATCACATCTTTCAAGAAAAAAGAATTTACCATTCTTGTTGCTACTGATGTTGCAGGTTGGAGATACTTACAATTGTAACGATTCAAGTTGCAATTACTTTTCTTAACTGTGTTTTGTAGCCAAAATTTGTCATCATTAACGTTTACTTTTATTAATGTTATTCGTAGCTCGAGGTTTGGATATTCCTTCAATAAAAACTGTTATAAATTATGACGTTGCCCGGGACATCACTACTCATACGCACAGGATTGGAAGAACTGGACGAGCAGGTTAATTTTGTTCAAAATATTATACATAGAGTGATTTATTATAAAGTTTGTACAGTCTACGAGTTCCAGCAAAATTAAATGTCTCAACCAGTCTATACATGTAAAGCATAACAACATTGACTTCGGAAAAAAAACATCTTTTTTGTGTGTGTTTTTTATTGTCATTTAAAAATATTTTTGTACGTCAATGGGTATTCTGTAAAAAAAAATATTGATTTGATGGTTTTTGTCAATCATCATTAGAAATTTGTTCTTTTTTTCTGAAATCTGTTTGTGGAAAATATTTATTTATTTATTTAATCAACAGGTGTAAAAGGTACTGCATATACATTGATGACACCCTCGGAACAAAATTTTGCTGGTGATCTTGTAAGAAATCTTGTAAGTGCATGGAAATTAATATCCAATGAATTATTGTAAATGAAAACTTGAAATCTCCAGTGAAGACTCTATGATTCTGACAGTATGATTTTATTGTTTAGGAAATAGCAAATCAATATGTTTCTGAAGAACTTTTAGAGCTGGCGATGAAGGTTTGATTTATTTGAATCTAGTGGTTGTTTGATTGGTTTGTTTTTAATGTTTGCAAAAGGTTTTGTGCGCAATACTTCATGTTAAACACTTTCCTTCATTTCTATGATTATGTTTCACAATGTAGAACACGTGGTTTCGAAAATCTAGATATCGAGGTGGTCAGGGTAAACGTGGGACAGGTGGTGTTAGAGAAAGACCAGGCTTAGGGGCACCTGATGTCGTACGTAAAAACGCAATAAAATGTGGAAATAATTTCGGAATATTTTAGGATGTTTACAAAGATTGAAACTTGTGTTTTATTAGGGTGCAACTGCTGGTCCTATGGCGTCTGCAAGAAATTTGTCGTCATATTCGTCCACTGTATCAGCGTCTGCTGGTTCAGGTCCCAGCAGCAGCAGGTTAAATGCATTAAAGGCTGCTTTTTCAGTAAGTTATTTATCCAAAGTCACTAAAGTCTATTCTAGTACACAGCTACCCCTGCACCATCTTAACTTACATATAATCATGAGTACACAGCTACCCCTGCACCATCTTAACTTACATATAATCATGAGTACACAGCTGCCCCTGCACCATCTTAACTTGCTATCATGTTGGTGTTGTGAATCAAGAATTATATTTCTTATTTATAGTTGTCTATTTCCAAGCTTTTTCTTACATTTTTAGTCTCAATATCGTAGTCATTTCACTCCATCAACAGAAAACAATAAATGGGATGCGTCAAAGCAACATTCTACTGTAAATCCATTGGAGGATAACGCTTCCCTAAATAAGGAAGAAAAACGAAAATCGAAGAAATCTAGATGGAACTAAAAAATATATAAAATCCATCAATTTGTAATATAATATCTCGGCAGTTTTCTTGTTACCGTACGTGGACAGTATATAACATGTAGTAGAAATTTTTCTTTAAACTCTTCATTGTTTAACCAATTGATCAGATGACATAATAATGCAAGGTTTATCTGAGTGACATGATATGAACAACCATCGTTCGTTGCTGCGTTGTTTCATTGTGATTTTTGCCGGTTTTTCTCTTTAATAAAGAAAAATACTACTCTTAAGGGTTCTGAAGTGCTATTTTGGTTAGCAATAGTGGTAGCAGGGGCTATGTGGTGTTATTTTGATGGCAATAGTGGTAGTTGGGGTTCTTTGGTGTTATTTTGATAGCAATAGAATTAATGTGTTTATGAATGTTGATTGTCCAGGTTACTAGAGTACTGAGATAGACTGTTGTTGTTGATGTTGACTTACGTTTCGACAACCTGAGCTGTAGTCATCTTCAGAGTCATTCACTTAATAAAAGTTTACACTTCCAAAAACTATTGTCATGAATATGCACCCTTAATTAACGTTCTAGTTACGCCTCTGCTTAGCGTCTCGTTTGGTCTTCCTCTGATTTCACCTCAAGGTTAACCCTCACTATCTCATTGTTCTTATTGGTCAGTGAATACAATTGTCATTTTCAGATATACCGATTACTGCAAACGTCATAAAGTTTTGTTGTACTTGCCTGTAACAGTGTCTGCAGACAAGTGGCTGAAACCGTGAAACGTTCTCATTTATTTTCACAGAAAAGTTATGGCGAGTTCCGTTGCTTACAAAGGTGCGTCTATTTTCATAACTGGTTGTAATCGTGGCGTTGGACTAGCGATAGTAAAAGAAATATTATCACAACCTCACTCGCCAAAAGCGTTGTTTGCAACTTGTCGTTCATTGAAATCAGATGCTTCAAAAGAACTACGCGCTCTAGCGATGAAGAATCCTGTTCTGCATCTTTTGGAATTAGACGTAACTAATGCTTTGCAACTAGAAGCTGTTGTAGAAGAGGTGAAAACAACTCTTGGTGACCATGGCTTAAATCTCCTTATTAACAACGCAGGTAAATATATATGTACCATGTATTGGACGATAATAATAACATCAACACAATGTCATTAGTAATTAAACTGTACGGACATGTATACATGTCTATTTGGTTGAAAAATTATGTTTACTTCTCTTGACTTATTCCCATCTGACATTATACTTGATATTTGTACAAGTATGGTAGTATAGTTATCAGTTAGTGTAGTTTGTTGGTGGTTGTCACACCCCATCTCTTTTATTCTGTGTCCTTTAGTAAATGAGGTGATGTTGGTTAAAAATTCAGCTACATTCATTTTTTTATCAAGAAATAATAATTTGATGGCTACAACTCTCTAATGTAATGATTGCATGATTGCCATGTAAATTTAGAAATGTTCAATTCTTAATCACCAAACCTGATAACAAGAATTAAATGTTGTTAAAACAAATGTCATTATAGTCCCACGTTCATTTGTAAAATCTTTCTGCTTCTGGTTAAAAAAGTCAAGCCATTCCACTGTGTATATTGTACATCGCTTGAATCAAACAATGAATGATACCAACGTATGGTACGTGTCCACATTATATCTGTTTTAACTCTGATGCTAAATTTTTGCAAACCCTAACTCTAAAAAACTGTCATTGTACTCTAACTCAAAAATGCCTCGGGATATAATCTTCATATGAAATCAAGATCTAATGATAACATTGTTTTTTTACTGATTTGCTGTTTGTTTGTTTTTTGAATTGTACAGGTATTTATGATTTAAAGAACTCTGAATATGGGTGTGCTTCAAGCACTTTGGATGATGTAAATCGAGATTTGATGATGAAAGTGTATGAGACAAATGCTGTTTCCCCATTGATGATTGTTAAAGCATTCTTGCCATTATTACAACTGGCAGCCAAAGATGTTAAATGTCAACCACAAGCTTGTATTGTGAATATTTCATCTGATGATGGCTCAATAACATTAAATGCTGGAGGTCATTACCAATATAAATGTTCTAAAGCGGCATTGAATATGTTAACAGTATCTCTTAGCATAGACTGTGCTAAAGATTGTATTACTGTAGTTTGTATTGATCCAGGGTGGATGAAAACTGACATGGGAGGCAAAGCAGCACCTATGTCTTTATCTGATGCAATACCTGTATTAGTTCAGCTAATTGGCTCATTAGATATGTCAAAAAATGGTTCATTTCTACAGTACAATGGTAAAACTCTACCTTGGTAAAAACTGTCAATTAATATGTAATATTAATTTTTGTGAGGTTTTTGAAGTTATTGAAACATACAAATTGTAATTGAAATTTTATTCTGTTTTTTCAATATTATATTTAGCAGAATTTTGTATCATCAGGAAAATACAGAGATATGAAAATGTATTATTGTTCTTTGTTCCACATTTTGAACCCAAAATTACCAGATACTTGTTACCTTATTTTGCTATTTTGCATAACCGTATTTACATAAAAAGCGTCACAAGATTTGCAATGCCTCGTGGGAATGTGTTACGTCATATTCAACGACGATTGATTGATTGATGGCAGTTATTATAAAATAGATCAACAAAAAGAAAAGTTTGAAAGAAGTTTTAATTTTTTGAGGATAGATAAAAAAGGAAAATGTCTGAACGTCCCCGAAGAAGCAGTATTTTTGATGTTGGATTTCCACTGCAACAAGACAGAGGTTCAAGTATTGTGAACATTCAGCCGGGTATTTTGGATAATCGTCCCCAAAAAGTTCTTTTTGAAAACACATACAAAATGGAGCCAGATCAGAAACTTGACTTAAAAGAAATCAAAACGTTGATGGACAGCTGTCTCGAGTCGCATCTCCAAAATGTCACGTATGATGCAAGTCGTTCTCGTAGTCTTGTCAATACTTTATCACTTACAATTCGCGAGCAAGTTAAGCTTTTAGACTATAAACGTTATAAGATAGTTTGTATTATAAACATAATGGAGAAAAAGTCTCAAGGCGCTCGTGTTGCCAGTCGTTGTCTGTGGGACGAGAAAAAAGATAATCAAGTCGATGCAGAATTTTGTAATACATCGCTAATTTGTTTGGCGAGTGTCTTTTTAATTTATTGTGAATGATGAATATTGGAGATAAAACAGAACTTTGAAGTGCTTTGTATTGTAAGCAGACAATGGTGAATTTGTTTTTGTCATTCAAATCTTATGTGTTTGTTGAACTTTAATGATATTTCAATTTTTATAATATTTTGGGGAAAATGTGTTGAAGATTTAAGATTATATGTGAAAGAGCAATGAAAAAAAAATCATGAAAAGTTTTACCCATCAAAACGTGATACTTTGTCTGATCATGTTTTTTTTAATGAAACTAACAAAAATTACCTAGATTGTGGTATCGAGCAATTCATCTAACAGCCGATTGGGTAAATGCTAGAAAAAGATTGCTATGTCTGAATTTTATTCAATAAAAAGATTAAAATATTGAGAGAAAAATATTTATCGGTAATTGAAAGCAATTTCTTGGTAAATCATTTTTACTTGTTTGCTGCAATGTCGTGTAATTTGTAAGCAGTTGATGGCAAAAAGACTGGAAAAAAGTTTAAAAGAAAAGAATGTCATTCTTTCAGTGTATTAAAGGCTCTGCATGTAGATAAATTGCCTCGTCACAGTATTTTAAAGACACAGTCCGTCAAAGTTCGAAGTATTAACATATTATAACTTTGAGTTTTTAAAAGTCAGAAAAATCTCTCAGAGCTAGTGGTAGCTACTTTCTACAGCTTCACTAATGATCATTATTTTTAGGAAAACACTCGATCGGCTCAGTACAAACTTTTGAAGCTCAATTTTATAAGCAACTCACTTTCATCCTTGTATTCTGTTTTCCCTGGAAGATTGCAAAATCTGTTAATCTCACCATAAATGGATGTCCTTTATTGATCCAATTTATAGCCCAGTAGACTTCTATGCTGTCTATATATGTCATTCCTTCGTTTGAATTTTCAAAACGCAAACGCTCACTTGCAGTGTTGACTAAACACATCGTCATTCATCATCAAGAATGAAAGCGCAATAATTTCAGATTCAACAAATCAAACAACAAAACTGCATTGAAATTCAAATCTAATGGATGCTATTTGTTAGCCGTTATGAGAAAAACAAATGAAAGACAGTGATTTTTCATATTGAATTGTATGTACTAAATTGAAATTGTTCAACCCTATATTCAAATTGTATGTAGGAATAAGTTTATTATTCTTTATTTTATTGACGTATTATCTTCTGACTTCAGTATATTTTTACGTCTTGTTGATGAACATACAAAGATGTTGTAGTTTACCATTAAATTTTGGAGAATATTCACCATTTGGATGGCAAGGACTCAACTGACCAGTACAAAAATGCATATGGAAAGTTTTCAATTGGTAGCTCGTCGTCTTTATAAAGTTCAGGATGTAAATATTTGTATTGTAACGCGAGATTAAAAGCTTTTTCCTTCTCTCCATCTTATTCTACGACGTGTGTCATACGCTTTGTCTTTAACGCGGCGACGTTGGTGTGAAAAGCCGCAGTACAAAATAAAGTCTCCAAATGAAAATTTATTTCCCATTTTAACAAACTGCATGAGAATTTGACCTGATCATTGAAGTTTTCAGAATGACTTCATCGACGCATTTATGACGATGTTTAATTATCCAATTAGTGAAATCATGAGCTGATTGACCTCAAAAATTTCTTAATTAACTATTGTATAAACATTGTTGACGAATTTCGAGAAACATACGTAATATTTTTCTGAACTGTGATTCGCCCTCAAAATCAGACTTTTCGATATGCTTAGCAATTTGAAAAAATATGTCAAGCACAAAATTTAACAAACAAAAGTCCATTTGTTAAATTTCATTATATATAATTACCCGACATTGTCTAATTTCATCACACAAAATAATTAGAATGAGAATATAATTTTTTGTGCGACGTACTCTTCAACTCATCTGAGGACGACAGTTTAAAATGTAATTATCATGAAATGATAAAAATTACGATAGTTTTGCAAAGAAATGATAATATTTGACAAAAAATGGCTGAAATGAATTGGAAGGTAATGCGCATAACCTGTATATGTATAATATGACATAACTAGAGTAAAACATACAACAAAAATGTACAACGTAATCACTGCTGTCCATGAACTTCAAGTTTGGGTGAGTAGGGAGACAGTAGCTTACTTTTCCAAATTCCTAACATACCCAAAAATCATGTTTGTAGATGTAGATCGTCCAGGTTAGTAGAGTCCTGAGAAGGACTGTTGGTATTGTTGTTGACTGATGTTTCGACAACCTTAGCTGTAGTCATCTTCAGAGTCAAGGTTGTCGAAACGTCAGTCAACAACAATACCAACAATTCTTCTCATGACTCTACGAATCTGGATGATCTTCTTCCACAAACATGTTAAGATACTCGCGGCTTCAAACAATTTACTTTATATCCAAAAATTATTGTGATAATTTCCAATCAGTTAAGCAGATTTTATGTTTTGAACTCAATCGGTAAAGTATAAACAGACATCATTTCAAGCTGTTAGCCACCGATTTGATAAAGATACAGTTGCTAGACAAAACACAGGCTCAATATTAGGGACCATCTTAAAAGGCTTTTTTTAACAAAGATCGAAACAGACTGCCAAATCTATGTCATTAGCCTGTCAAAAAAAAACAGTGTCTTCCTAATTTTTGTTTGTGTTTAGTTGCCTAAATAGGCAATAAAAGCAACGTTTTGCTTCTTGTCTTTTCAAAACTTCGGTGAAACTAAAGAACATATTGGCACACCGCACAACAATTCAATATGATATTTCATGAAAAAATTATGTATTTTCATATATCTATGGTCTTTATATGTAATAATTAGTTGTATGAAGAACTTGCATAAGTTACAGTCTTTATATAAAATTGCCCCTATTTTTTCTATTATTTTCCGAATTTTCCATAGTTTTCAAAAGCTTGGGGCGGCAGTTGCTCTATTTGCTTCCTCAGCTTGAGCTGGTACGCCTATAAAATTAATTGAAGTTGTTGAACAATACTACGCAAAAGGAATCCATGGAGTGACGTCAAATTCGAGGCTAATCGGGTGGATTACAATGGTGGATTATCGCAATCTTATCTTCAAATTTCGAACAGTCTCGCTCGACCAATCAAATTACAAATTTGCTTAATTTGGCGGGGCGAAAAAAATTCGCGGCAAAGTTCGCTACATCACTGAGCACAGAGTTGTGTAATGCCTCGACCACCTAAAATGTTGTGAAAATTTACTTTAAAATCCTGTCGAGGAATAAATGTGATAGTATTGTACATCAAACTGAGGGCTGCCTGAAAATTTTTGTTGTAACGCAAGATTTTAGCACGGTTAGTTCTCAAAGATTAAAATACAACTCATGATACTTCAACTATTTGTCGACAACATGCAATTTAGTATCTCTGTATAGATTTTATACATGTGATATTTCAATCTTCAAATATCTAGTGATATAATACATTATGTGATATAGTAGTACTGTTAATGTTTGTTTCTAAGGGGAAGATACGCATTGAACGGACCGATTAACGTGTTCAAACGTTGTGAAAAGTAGAACGTGTGAACTTGTTGCCTAACTAAATGTGCACGTGTTTATTGTTAATTTCCCATCTGCCTAAGATATGACATTATTCAACTAATCATGATTTTAATGTTGATTTTCTATGTTCATGTCTATGATGTTAGATGGTGAATATATCTGGATGTAGTGTCCAAGTATTGTTGAATATAATTGAAGATACTATCTCTCTTCCTGAAGAGAAGACAGATGCTTACCTACGATTAGCAGAGTAAGATGACATGTCTGATAGAACTTTAAGTTTTCTTTCATAAGTTTGGATTGCTAACACTAGCATTTTTTATGTCATCCAATTTAGGGGTTTGGCTAAACATGAGAAAATGTTTGTGGAAGATATATGCAATATGTCATCAAAATTACTTGTTGTCTTCTCTGTAAGTTTTCTTCTAAATGTTTTTTTTTATTGCGTATGTATGTACTGCATTTTTTGGCATAATTATTCAAGAAACCGACAACCTGGAAATACCATTTGCAAGTCAATAACTTGTTTCAACTTATATAATCAGTTCATTTTTTTGCGAACAATGGAAACTAGTTATGCAGTAACACACTTTTTTCAATATAATTATAGTTCAAAGTTTATATACAGCTGAAATAAAATGCTAAATTTGACGATTTGGTAATTTTTTATTTTGCAGCAAGATATGTTTAATGAAAGAAAAGATTTATGTCAAGCAGCTCTTCAAGCTCTTGGTTATTGTGTATATCAACAACAGATAGCCAGGTTATAGATAAAGACCATTACTTTTTCTTTCAATAG